AATTTCACTTCAAATTGTTCTGCAGTCCATGAAATCTATATTCTTCTTTTATCATGTTTGGAACTGTTCATTCTAAAAAATCCAGCATTTCCAACTTTCCTTGGGGATATAGCGGGAAAAAAAAAACTCAAGAAATTATTTAATGAGCAATGACAAAGACACAACACTGGGTCCTGATGAGGAATAAATGCACTTCAATAAAAAACATCCTGAAAATATGCATAGGAATTTCATGATAAAAAAGTATGATTACCTATCTGAAGTTGGTTGTCAACATAATTAACACACGTTTTCATCACAAAAGAGTAGTCTCTTCCACACAAGAAATTGAATGAACTCTCCGATGAGTATTGCTTCCAGCATTTCAAATAAATGAAAAGGAACATCAATAATGATGGTTCAGTGTATTGCTTCTGAGCTCCTCTGAATGCTTTTGCAATTTATTTCTGATTTTAGTAGGATTTGCTAAAGTTCTTTGAGTTGTTCTTGCAAGGGTTGTTTTCAGTTTACAGTTACCTGATAATTCAGAACTTCCTTTCAGAGATACAATTTTATCTATCGTTTCAGGCAAGTGAACTTGTCAACCGAGTTCAACAGATACTATTTACTTTCACAACACAAACCTATATACTTAAGATTGTCTACTGGACACCATCAGATTTACAAGAAACATTTAAGCTGAACAAGGTCACACTTATTTTAAATCCAACACGATACATTAGGTTATTACAGATTCATTCATGACAGTTCTTGGGCATGTCTTGTGAAAACCTTCATTGACTCCTGTTAACTTCAAAGGCATCCAACAGCCCCAGTGTGAAGAGTTCCCTCTCCTCTCCAACACTTCAAATACTACCTCAGAATTGAAATAAGAATCCAAGCTGTCCAAATGTATAACCTTTTATCATACACTCCGCTTCCGATACTGACCTGTAACAACAGCAGTATGCTCATCTCCACATGATATATGTACAGGCTTGTCATTTTTGAACCAGAATTTGCTAGGAACGTTTTCTGCAAAGCTGCTTTTTCCAAACGTGAAAACAGCACCTGATTCTAAAACATAAAAAAGAAAAAAAAGTCAATTTTAGTGAATATAATTTTTTCCTAAGACATTTTAAAATAGCCGTTTCCTATTAATTACTAGATGCATAAAGCAAAAAGAACTCTGACAAACTGTCCCCAAAAAGTACGCTCAAAAGCTCATCCTGAAAGCAGGTCGAGACGAAGAATTCTCACTTACTTGAATTCAAACAGGTTTTCCAAATTGGATTAGAGAGAGACACACACACACTGTAAAGAGGTGACAGGCTCCAAACTGACCACTCCTCCTCACTCATCTGAATAGATACATGTGCTCTAAAAATGACCCCCTAAAAACAAAATCCTCAGCCTTCAAAACACGGGATGCAACAACTGTCCTTGTTCGTAAGACTGCAATATAAAAAAGCCCAAAGAAAAGCACCCCACAACGAAACCCAGACGGCTCTTTCTCCCTTATAACCAGTTTTCTCAATTCTTCCCACTTCGAACAGCGCCAGCCCCGTTGTTTTAAAACGCACCACGCTAACTATTCCCCCACCCTTTGCTCAAGCATCTTGTCAAGCACTTGGCTCGGCACAGAAAATACTCGCTCTATGGGGAATAAATGAACTTACAAGTTAAACCATTCGCCAAAACGCCATGCAGTGTGTGGCAAAGCCAAATTAGGCCTCTTATTTAAAGATGTCAAACCTCGTGCTTTACTGGGGGGAGAGGGGGAGAAGAGTAACTATTATTTGCTTTTTTTTTTAACGTATAGGCTATGGTAACACACAGAGGAACGCTAGGCTGCTTCTGTAGAAGTATATAGGATTTAATAATACCACTGCTTTCACTGAAAATGTACACACTGAAACGCTTCGTTGGCATTGACGGTTTGCACCCAGCTCCAAAACCCACGGCTCTCTCTTGCCCTGTACATCTGATACTCCTTTTGGAGTGAAAGTTTCCGATATTAGTAGCGAGATGCAATTTCGTGCACCACACGCATTTACAGATTTGCATTTACTGCTCCTTCATTTTTATTTATTTTTTTAACTTTTTAACTAATGGGCACATATATAAACATATATATTCCCGGATATCAGGAGGAGGAGCCCTCCCCAGCCCAGCAGCGGGCCGAAGGGAAGCGGCTGTGTGTCCGTGTGTCCGCCTCCGCCCCCCGCCTCAGCACTCACCGGGCACCGTCAGCTCGGGCTCCCCGGCGGGCTCGGGCTCGGGCTCGGCCATGGCGGCGGGCAGGGCGGCGCTCGGCCCCGCGCCCCATGCGAGCGGAAGTAAACAGCGGGGCCTGCCACGGGCAACGGGACCGGCACCGCCCCGCACCGCCCCGCACCGCCCGCACCGCCCGCACCGCCCCGCACCGCCCGTACAGCCCCCGGGGCGCCCCCTGATGGCTGGCGGGGGAGTGCAGGCTGCCCAGGGCCGCTTGTGGAGGTCCCCAAGGAGGAGCCCCCCCCAGCTCTCTGGGCAGCCTGTGCCAGGGCTCCTCACCCACACAGCACAGAAGTGCTGCCTGCTGCTCAGGGGGAGCCTCCTGGGCTCCACTTTGTGCCCGCTGCCTCTCGTCCTGGCACCGGACACCACTGAAAAGAGCCTTGGTGTGTCCTCTTTGCACCTTCCCTTCAGGGACGTTTCAGTCTTCCTCCTGTGGCTTGTCCCTGCCACTCGCTCCTGAAGCAGACATCTTCGTGTGGGGGCTCCCAACATCTTTTGTGTGGGGCCTTGGGCTCCCAAACCTGTCCCCTAATAGCCCCACTTCCTTCGCTGAGTCTCCTGAGCTGCTATCCCTCAGCCACATACGCAGAATATAACTCAAAATCTTTATTTTGCCACCCCTAGGGCACTCCTGTCCTAAGAGCGTCTGTTTCTCTTTGATGGCTTGTGAGGCTTCTCCAAGCTGTCCCTCTGAAGTCTTCTGACTGGGTATTCAAGCAGGCATTTCATCTTCCATTCAGCCAGTGATACCTAGATAACAACAGCTGTCCTGCAGACTCTTCTGCCCTTGCACTGTCTCTGAGTTTTTTTGGAAAAAGGTCTGCCCATTCCTTGACTGTAGTACTCACGTTTTGTAGGGAGCAACTGCAATGTCCTTCCTGTCAGGCACCCACCCAGCCCCTCTCCAGGGCACAAGTGAAACATTTCTTGGCTGTAGTGCCCACCACATGGCACAAAGGACCGCAGTTGTAATCTAAAGCAGACAGCAAGGGCATTGGGTTGGGATTTCCATATTCCAGGCCCTGGCATTTAAAATGCAACCATAAGAGCGCATGGGTTGAGACACGCTGGTGTAGAGAAGATAATGTAGTGTCAATCTGTACTGATAGAGAGAAAAGGAGCTTAGGATAAAGGAGTTATATTGATATTGTCACCCAATATGAGTATCAGCCTAGCTGGTCTATTAAGCAATATGTCTTATGTGAGTTTTTCAAGCCTGCACCTTGTGAATACCACTGGAATTACAATTGCTGTAATTGGATTGAATGTGTTGCTTTCTCTTTTTTTTTTTTCCTTTCCCAGTTCTTAATGCTTCAAATCATCAGCTAAAATGGTCTTAAACCAAAGATGGCGTTTAAAGCAATGATGTTCCCCCTGCACACCCTAACACCCTAATGACTAACAATATTCCTCAAATTATTCAGCATTGAAGGTTTTTATGGCAAAGTCCCTCAGATGCCTTTTTATTGGTGTTAGTTAGTGAGCAAGATGATAACACATTCAGCTCATGAATATTGCTTTTATTTTCACATTTGAGGAGCAATGAGGAAATCTGTCCCTTTTACTCCATGATATTATTAATATAACTTTGCCATATTGTTGTACTTTGTTGAGGGAATAAGTTAATTTTAAGGTCTGAAAGACAACCCCTTTGTGAAGGTAAACCCGATGCAATCCTTGAAAACTCAGGAGAGCTCCAAGTTTATATTAATTACATTAGTCATGACTGACTAAGCATGGTAAGCTGTGATTGTACCATGAGAAATGTGTTGTAATCAGGCATCACAGCTTGAGTGTGAATCTTCGATATTTAACGAATGTATGTGTATGTTTTCTGATTCCCAGTATTGGTGCTGATTTTCTCTGAAAAGAAAGAACTGTTAGTAACAAAACAAAACAACAAAAAAAGGGCAGTTTGGACCCTGTTCTTCTTCTGACCATGTACTCGGAAGCTGACTGCTGCTGCCTCTCAAGAAAGGAGGTGTCAAGGGTCAGTCTCCTGCCAGCTCAGAGAGGAGACAGGCTTTCAGTAATCTTTCTTCATCAGCCTACACATGCCCTCCTAACCTGAGGCACAGACCTGCCACCCTTTGGGTATGCAGATCTCATTGTCCCTTCTGGAGAGGAGATCAGCACTTGTGCCACCATGAGGAGCCACCACCAGCCACCTCTCCGCAAGATGTGGGAGGCTCATCTCATGTGCAAGTAGCCCCATAGAGTTGGCCACACCAGAGCTGCCTGGTGCCAGGGCTGGGGCTGTCCCGTTGCCACCAGCTGCCTTGCTCCTGGTGGGGTTTTGGGATGGGTCCTGGCTGCCTACCAACCCCATAGGGAGCCCCATAGCCTCAGTCCCCAGAAGCTGCCCTGCTCTTCTTGTGCCATGACAGTTATTCCTTCGCTTTTTTGTTTCTGTTAGGACGTGTTCCTGCACAGATATTTGACAAACATGAAATTGCTACAATATGCTATTGACGCAAGCTGTAATATGATGGTCCCAGACAGAAGAGCACAAGCTCTGAGTTGTGCAATGGACCCTGTGAAAAGCCTTTATCTGTAGAATTTTAGCTAACCAAGGAAAAGATTCAATATGAGCCCTGACCAGGCCCGGCCCAGGCTGGAAAAATTGAAGATAAGATTGTCTGTTCTTCATAGTATCCTCATTTGCACAGTGGCTGCTTCACACAACTGCATTTCTGTTAACTTTGATTGCAGGACGGAGAGAAATCTACTGTGAAAGGAAGATGCTTTTTAATTTGAGGAGCTTTTTCCAAATTAAAAAATTAACATGGAACAACAAGCATCTGCTGCGACATTTTTGGTAAGTTAATCCTTTTCTTTTGTCTGGCATTCAGTGACATTTAATCAGAAAACTGGAGACAAAAGTAATTGAATTATGTGGAGGAGTGAGAGAAATAGGGTTCTGCTAGCATTTTTAGTGCCCTTTTGCCTTCTCAGGCAGCAAGCTTTGAGTCTTCATGAGACTGGAGGATTTTTCCTTTTTATGTTTTGTGAAATCTTGTTAATTCTTTCCATGGGATTTAGCTTCAAAACCAAGAAAAAAACATTTCTTCTTGAGTTCAGTGTGCACCACAGGTACTGTAAATGATAAAGATCTAAATAAAGCATGGGAAATCCTTATGTGTTTAGACAATTATCATGATCAATACTGGGAGGGGAGGGGGGAGTGTGGATTATCTCCTTGAAGCTGCAAGGTGAATCAGCTTCAGAGCTGGTTTTTTGTTATTATTATTTCTGTGTACATTTGAGGCACGTAGGAAAAGCATTATGTGATATGGGATTCAAAGTTAACCAAGGAGACACATCTGCGTAACCTCACTTAGATTCTTTCTTCAACCACATCAAGTTGCCCCTCCCCTATGGCTTCAGAAAAGTACCTCTACGACACTGTTTCAGTAAGCTTGTCACATCTCAAGAATCAAGTTAAAATTAAAGGCCTGACACTTAATGCCACATCTATCTATTTTTGTGTTGGTGTCAATATGAATAATATTCATGGCATTTGTAACAAATGATTAGTGTTAGAAAGCAATATACCGGAATTTCATATAAACAGAAATCCTAGTGTGCAATGGCATTTTCATGTATAATTTCTACGTTACAAGAAATGAAACAAACCTTTTCTGAATTCTTTGGTTTATTTGTGACAGTTTTAGAGTTGTCCTGAAGCCTGGGTGATAATTTCTTCAATGGATTTATGGATTTTCACTGCTGGTAATCAGTGGGAACTTTCTCTGTTTAGCAGCAATGATAGAAAAGCAGGTGTGAAAAACAACTGTGGTAAACCCAGTAAACCTGGTTTTCAAAAATCATCCAATTTATTAAGCTCCCTGTATAATGCTGTCTTTTTTTTTTTTTTTTTTTTTTTTTTTTACACTATATCATAACATTGGCATAAACTATCAATCATCACTATCTTATGAACATTACAAGTTAAGCACATCATGGTTGATACCACAAGATAACATAATATATTTCAATCTATATGCTAGTAATCCAAAGTAATTTCTATCCCTGCTCGGAAAGAAATGTGCAGCTGCTTGACCTTGCATTTCTGCCTGTTACATTTTAACTCTGGTTTGTTGTCTCATGCCCCTTAACTGCAATTCATTTGACCACTTCTGCCTTTGTTTCTGAGGTTGGGGACAAGGGAAGAGAACACATTTCTGAAGGTCATAGCAGTAAAGCAGAATCATTTTGGGAACACATTGATCAGGAAGGGATCCATAGTCCAACTTGCTTGTAGTTTGACAACAGCTGATCAGGTCAGCTATGTCTTTGCTTAGCCAAGTCTTGAAAATCTCCAAGGATGGTAATACCAGATCCTTTCTGGATAAACAATTTTAGTGCTTCACTGTCTACTAATGCAGAAGTTAGTGATAGGTACTACTCAATACACTTTTTAGCGGTGCCAAGTGGTAAAACAAGACCTGTGAACAGATGTTGCTGCTTGAGAGGTTCAGACTAGGCAATCTCTGTAACTCCCTTCAAGCAATTGTAGGTTGCCATTAGAAACTCAGGGAGCAGCAGCACTGAAGGCTGAAAACAGAATCATCCATTCATCTGGATGCATTTAAGTCCATGAGGGACTGACAGGATTCGTCCCAGGGTACTCAAAGAGCTGTTTGGTGTCATCACGAGACCTGTCTCAATTATTTTTCTATGGTTTTGGGAATCTGGAGAGGTCCCAGTTGACTGGAAGCTGGCAAATGTTGTCCCAATTTTCAAGAATGGCAAGAAAGGAGAACTTGGTAATTACAGGCCTGTGAGTCTCACTTCACAACTTGCTAATGTTATGGAGAAGATTATTCTGGGAATTACTGAAAAACACTTGAACGGCAGTGCAGTCATTGGTCATAGCCATCAAAGGTTCACAGGTTTGATTTTTGGGTGGTCCTTTGTGGACCTGATGACCTTTGTGGGTTCTTTCCAACTTGGCATGTTCTGTTAAGTGGAAATGATGCAGCAAAGGAGAATAGTGACCAAGCAGCAAGTGAGTGCAGAGATGTTAAAACAGCATGAGTATTTTTTCATTCCCCCAAACTGGACACAGCAGCGAATCCCTCTTCTGAAAAAATATTTTTAAAAGGTCACATTCATGAAACTGCAGAATGCACAGAAACTTCAGAATGCACATATTGAAGTCATATACCTTCATTTGAATATCAAGATATAGCCTCAGTATTCCCAGGACTGGATTTCAGTAGCATACCTTGGCAGCCTGTTTTTCAAGCAATGGTGGAAGCTACCTGATGCATAAATGCCCAACCTTTCTTCTAATGCCAGGCATATTCTATTCTAAAGTTATCAAAGACAGAAGTACAAGAGACCATTTTGCTAGCTCGGTAATATCCACTTCAGTTTCAAAAATGTGGCATTTGGGCACTTGCTAACTTTTCCTGAGTTGTTTACTTCAGTTTGGAGGCAGGAATAGAAACAGAAAGATAACACTTAGAGAAAAACATGCAACTTCATTTTACTAATGATTGTAGTGGCATGAACACTAGTCTTTATGTCTTGGAAATGTGCATTATTATTTTTAATGTTACTGACAAACACGTATTACTGAAGTTGTGCATACAATTCGGATTGCATTTCACTTGAGAATCAGTTTTCAGCAACACTGTAAGAAAATACATGGGCAACATCTCTCTAAACTTAGAAAGCAAGAAATCCATTCCCTTATCTGAACAGTGCTCCATAGAAGTGCACCCCTTCTGCAGTCTGAGGACCTGTGCAGAGACAGATCGTACACACTGATGGGAACCTTTGTGGTGCTTTATGCTCAGCTAGCTTAGTGGTGGATCCTCTGGCAGTCTGCATAATCTCTGGAGCACATTACCCTGATATATGACAGCATGTACTGAGCTCCAGCAAAATTAACCACCAGGGCATCTGTATTTCATGTGCTACTTCTTCCTATATTCTCCATGCTCCTGCTGTTACACATAATCCTTTTCACTGTGAAAAAAGTCTTCTTAATAATGGTGGTGGTATAATGTCTATCTAAAGAACTCTTAAGGGTGTCCGGAAAGAAAAGACACAACATTCAATTAAAGGAAAAAATTCTGCTACATGATTTGAAAAGTCTTGCAATTTGTACTGCGATGTCAAATTAACAGTAATAATGTTTAGTACTATTAGTTTAAGAGACGCCGTCTTCCCTGTCCAGTTTCAATTTGAGCCTATACAACAGAATTCTGCCCAAAAAGCCCATTCCTTCAGATTTAACCAACACCAAAATCTTTAGAAGCCACATAGGCCTATCTACTACCTGAGCTTTTATTTGTCAGAATTAATTAATTTATTCAACAGAATTAATCTACTACCTGAGCTTTTATTCATCAGTATATTATCAATATACGGCATGGTGGCATGTCGTGCCAGCGTGACAGAAGTTATTGAGACCAGTTAAGGCAGTCCATCAAGCTGATCCAGCTGGGTCAAACGAGGGGAGCAAGAGAGATCTCAGCTACTTGTTCATTGACTTTAACACGAGTACAATTTTGTGTCAAATGCCAAACGTATATTTTTTTGTTCTTTTGACACAGGCGTGGGCCACCAGCTCAAATGAATGTAAGCCTGAAAGGTCGCGACCTCCTTACTCTACAGAACTACACAGCTGATGAACTGAAGCATTTGCTGTGGATGGCTTCAGATTTGAAACACAGGATAAAGCACAAAGGAGAGGTAAAATCCTCCAGCTGACATTTAGGTCACTCAGATGTTGAAATAAATATCGTTTTGAAAGATATTGGGAATTGGCAATTTAGCTGGCTTGTCCGAAACATCATCATCTAAGCTCTTTAATACTGTGAACCACATACTGCAGATCAAAGAACATTCCTTTAAAATGTTCAGAGATATTCTTTCAGAAGACTTTGCAATGAAAAAGTTAAGCAGTGTTGCATGGCTGGCCCTATTATTGGCCAATCCCATCCATTTACACATGGTGTGTATGCAGCACTAAGTGTAGGAAATAGAAGACAGTTCCCTGTATTGAATGGGAATAAAATTAGTAACAGTTCTCCTTAATGGGAGATCAATTTGGGTGCCGAAATGCAGTGTCTTTGTGCCCCTATAATTAGATCTTTCTCTTTAACCTTTTCTGTTGCTAGATGTTCTTGAAGGGCAGAGGAATAAAGTTATGTGTTTTTGTTTTTGTTTTTTAAAAAAAAGTTTTTAATTTTCTAATGCTGAATTAAAATGTGAAAGAAGTATTTTTACAGTGAAAAATTGATAATGACTATAAAATTGAAATGCCTTCAACTCCTGTTTTCTAGTACTTACCTTTAATGCAAGGAAAAGCTTTGGCCATGATTTTTGAGAAGAGAAGTACAAGAACGAGATTATCTGCAGAAACAGGTATATCAGAGCAATGGCACAGCCACGTTTTATTTGAAATTGTGTACTGTGAGTATTACACTGAAAAACACCAGATAATTTTGTATCTAGCATTTTTTAATTAAGAGACACTTAATGTTTTAAAACAAAAATAGGAAAAGAATGGTAGCTAATGGTGTTTCACCTGGCATATTAATGGCCACTGAAATTTCACCAGATCATTCCAACACATGATAGACCAGAAATAAAGCAACAGGTTAAAGTGAACGTTTCTGATGTAAGTTCTCACCAATATGCACAGTTCCCAACATAAATTTCAGTAGGCATCACAAATTACATCTTGTGGAAGCTCTCGTAAATATCTTTCAAGTGTGTTATTCATTACCATTGTCACATTTCAGAGTATGTGTTTAGATGGGGAATCACAGTAATGCCTTGATATGTGTTAATGAAAAAATAAATTTAACATGATTACCTACATGGGAAGATAACTCGATGGAGACTCCATGGTATTAGGCTAATAAGATGAGGCACTGGAACACTATTCTTAGGATACAGTCCTGCAAACACTGAAACACATGCATATCTTTATTTACATGGTAGTTGCTGTGAAGTCAGTGGGACTACTGAAATAGTTTATTCATGTGTTTGCATGGTACCAGGAAAACCAGGAATAACTGAGAATTGGTGATTGTCTTCTGGGTACATTTTTACTTATCAGAGAAGAAGAAGCTTCTCATAGGTTAAGGGACAGAAAACTTGTTGAGTATTCACATTTCTTTACAAGACGTAAAGGAAAAGGTAAAAATAATGTGAGGAAGAAGATAGGTCATCTGCAAGCATTTCTAATTTTGCCTTCATATCATATAGCACAGCCCTTCACCTGCTCATCCTGGTCTTTATGTAGAATTGTTGTTCCTTTCTGTTTTCTCTAGATGAAGCAGGGATTATGAATGTGTTTCTAACTTGTGTTCCCTCTTTGTAAGGGCAACCTGCCTTTTAATACTGGAGTTTTTAGGCCATTTCCTTGCTGCCTGCCATACTTATAATGGCAGGTAATCATGAATTCTCTGAATCTGTTTATCATTCTTGCTTCTGTATTCAGAGGGAAGCACTATTTAGTCCTTGGCTTTGGAAGGCTTATGGAAGAAAGAAGCTCAAGAAAGTTCAGATGAATTAGCTTAAGGATGGGAGCTAATGCATATAAAATCATCCAAGAAGGATTAAGCTCCAATGAAATAAAACCAAATTGTTTCTGAGTGAGAGCTTCCACAAGGGAGTTTAATGCAGTTTAACTTCTGTGCATTATCTTCACACCTTCAGTTATTTGGTCTTAAGTTCACTAAGCCTAAGACATTGTTTCAAAGGCAGACTCGAGTTTTTTCTCTCCATGGAAACTAAGTATTTCACCTACTTTTTGATATACACAAATTGTCCCTTGTAATTTATAGCTGAAAACAATGTGGGGTCACATGTGTTCCTTATCACTGAATAAGCTAATTTCTTGCCAATTATCTTATGTCCAGTGGGACTTTGCATTGAAGTGGATTAGAATGTTTGCTTATAAAATAGAGGAGTCATCTTAAATAGCTTTTCCCAAAAGCTGCACCTTCGAGATGTTGAAAGAGGTCAGTTGTGGGACAAAGTTCTGGTGGTCAGATTGATCTGAACAAACTTGCAGGAACAATTAGACAAAAATCAATGTGTTTCAGTTTAAAGGAGTAGAAACTGGGAAAAAGCTGGTTGCAATATCTGCTCTATGCAGTGTCTAGAAGATTGCTGCCATATCTGAACACTGTGGAAGTCCTTTCAGAAGTCCTGCTGTCTCTAAGCCTCTGAAGAACTCCATTCTTGAAAAACAAATAAACATGAATTTATAACAGAACAGCTGAAGTTGCTTTTCCAATATACTGTGTCTCTAAAATATTTTTTTCTTACGGCAGTGGGACTGTACTGAATAATGTATAGGTCCCTGTGGCATAATCCATGGTCCCTTTACCCTGTTGAACAAATGTAATCTTGTCTTAAAGCGTATTTCTGAAACCCGTATTATTTTACCATTTTTAGAATAGTAGTGGTCTTGTAAGTTTGATGAAGAACTACAAATAACTTCCACAGGCTATTGGTAAAGTAAATCCAGTTTTACAACACCTACTGTATTTATTGCTATCACTGGCTATTTTATTGGGAAATGTGACATCTGTGCTATTATACTGGTAAATGTCATTTGTTTGCAGTCAGAATCTCACACCCATTCTGTATAAGATCTTGCATACTTTTTGAAAACAAAGGTATTCCACATGGTCATATATTACTTGTAAAATAAACATCCTCAGGTATGGCATAAAGGTGAATGCCCTGTTTGTGTTATAGCTTTGTTGTAAAGTATTCCGTTTGTCAGTGGTACTCTTAAAATAAACAACTTAAGTTACATTTTAGCTAGCAAATTATGAATAAATCCCATCCTTTCACAGACACTGAATGTAGACAGTATGTCACAAGGAAGAAACAGAGTTACAACAATGCAGGCAGAAAATCCCTATGTACCTTCTTTCCTTCTGACAGGTTTATAGAGGTTTGCTGCCACTGGCTTCATCAGAATTACTCCCAGCTCATGCCTCCTACCATGGGAGTGAGGGGAAGATGAAGGCAATGCCTGAAGGCTACTACATACTGTCACAGAAATATTTGCATCACTTCGCATGTTCTAATGTAGTGGGATGATATTACACGGCAGGAATATATAGTATGTTTTTTCATTAGAGTGGCTAATGTTGTTTAGCTTGGCTACATTACAAAGTGGGCAAGAGCACTCTTTTAGCTTACTCTCCAGTTAGAGGGGTCACTTTAAAAATGATTATTGGGTTTCAGGCTTCTGCTTTAGGAATGCTCCTGTAATTGTTAGCTAGAAACATTCTTTGTTATCAGTCTAAACTGAAAGATACTTGGTAGATTGTACATCCTGCAGGGAGGCGGGCATCCTGGCAGTGAGGAAACTAACAAATCCAAATCTAGATTCTTGAAATATAAAACAGGATCCTTCCTTTGAGTTTGAGAAGATGGGTGTATATGGCTCCTGGTGATAGCAAGGCAGCCACATAAATGTGTATCCAATGTATGAACAAGAGGATTCTCTTTGGCCCACTTACCCAATGTAGCATCAACAGGTTGGAATGGAAATTTAACCCAGGTCTGTACTACCACCAGAAGTCATATCCTAAGTAAAAGCATCTGCATAAGTGGGATCAATAATACCACAGCCTGGGACATAAAACTGTCCATTATTTACAAACTAACAGTAGTTTGGTAATGAGATAATAATCTATTCTGTCTCCCCAGTATGAACATTTACTGTGGTTTGTTGAAGATACCGAGATCCATATAAACACTTAGCAAGTGGCTTTGGATATAACCAGATTGCAACAACAAAGAGGATTAGATCTTTCAGTTAAACATAGCACTCCAGAGTGTGCTTTTTTGCTGAATATCTTCAAAAGTTTTTGTTTTGTTTTGTTTTGTTTTTTCCTGTTAGTAGTCTGGATGAAAGAGTCGAAAGCATGGATACTTCCCCTGCAACTACACAGCAGCTAGAGCACAGAGCTCCTATATTTACAGATGGAAAGTTTTGGATGGAAATATGTTCTCAGGCCCTGCACAGATGGCCAGTTCATGAGCAGAAACCCAACACATTAGGACTCTGCTATGTAGACAGACTCCAGGTGGTGGATCTGACTAGGCTGCCTGACGCCTGGCAATTCTGAATAAGTGTCCAGATTCCTCTTTATCTACTTGGGCATCACTTATAGAAAACAGAACATGTCCATGGGAGTCTGCCTGGACTGTGAAACATCAACCAAAGTGTCCTCATTTAGAAGCCTGAAGTGCAGAGCTGTTGTATTGTGTGGAACTTCCTGGGATAAACCACTGACATTATCATATATAACTTTAAACAAACAAACAAGAAATCTGTCAGGAAAAGTTACTACCTATAACTTTTCATCCATGAGATCTTGACTTAAAAATTGGCATTGAATAAACAGGCTGTAATGTCTAGGCACCAGTTTGCATGCACATTCCCATAAATGCAGTGTTTGTGGCTAAGCTGCAGAGAGGAGGTGAAAGTATCTGGGGAAACCTAAACATTTTTTCCTGCCTTAATACAAAAAGGCTTCTGAATAACCAAGAAAGAAGGGTGAAGCAGCAAGCATATTGATAATGTTTTTCTGATAGCAAATAGTAGCAGTAGAGTAAGTGATGCTTCGTTCTTAAAAGTTTGTTGGGTCTGAATCCAGTCTCACTGTGATTTGGAGCAATTCTTAATAATGACAAAGGGAAAGTAAGGTCAGGCCCATTAGCAAAAATAAATATACACTGGATGGATGGAGTAGAGAGTTGCCCTGAGGGTGGGATCTGGAGCATCATTGCTTTTAATCCTACTTTTGGGGAAATTGAGGCCATCAAAAGGCAAGGTTTCATTTTAAAGTCTGGAGACTGGCTGAACTGATCCAAATTGGAGGACCTCACCTCAACCTTGCTTCCCGCATGAGACTGAATTTAATAAGGGCTTCTCTGTGCTAGGGGCCCCACTGTGCGGCCCACGCCTGCAGCCTGAACTTCATTGCTTGGTTTTAGCTGTGAAAGGTTTCAGTGTTCATTCCTGGTTTGATCATTTTTGAAGAGTAGTTGTGGGGTCAATTTTTTAATCTTTGACGTGCTTTTACAAACATCACATTAAGGCTGCAGTCCTGACGGTGTCTGCAGTGCCATCTAATGGCTACAACCAGCCCAAGCAGCTTTTAATCTTTTTGCTTCTTAATTTTTAAAATAAACTAAGAAGCACCTCCAAGAGATCACATTATGGTACAGAAGGGCATCTCCACTCTTCTGTGCTGTATGCAGCCTTTCTCTTCACAACAATAAAAATAATCTGGCCTTTTATCTAGCTTTTTGTCTCTGTAGAGGCTCATTCCTCTGAGGGTTTGTCTCAACAAGGTTGGTGTGTCCACATCAGGATTCCCCAGAATTTCCTCCATAGTGGGTATTAGAGACAAGGCAAGACCTCCCTGGCAGTTTCTCTACTAGCAGGGGGTTGTTTTTATATGGAAAACTGTTCCCACTGCACAATAAATGCCTTAAAGAGCTACTTACAGCCCAGTTCAAACCCTCTTCTTCATACTTTCCCGGTGGTAGGATGCTGTGTCCTGTGCTAGGCCTGTGCTAAACCATTAGTGAAAGTTTCTAAGACAACCCCCCTCAGGGCCCGTCCAAAAATAAATAAATAAATAAATAAATAAAGCTGTTTCCTTCTATGTTTGTGTCAGCTGGTCGCTTGTGATATAGCTTTATTGTGGTGGTGCGATGGAAATAAGGCACAATGGAGCCTGAGATTTGCCCTCAGTGTGAAATTTGTCAGTCTAAAATACTGTCAAGTTTCCCAAAGTGTTTTATATTCTTAAATGATGCTCAAGTCTTTCCCTGATTTCCTGTTCAGGAACGTATTTCAGTCTTCAGACCCAATCCATCTGGTTCCTTGTCTCACCTTGTCAATTCCTTACTATTGTGGGGTGGAGGGATATGAAGAGTGCCCAAGATCTTTCCTTGCGTCCCTGTCACATCACTGTTTTTAAGACACTTGGTTATTTGTGACCCAGCTTAAGTTTATAATGATATATGAGGAAACTTAAGGTCTTCTATCTGAGTGAATATCCTTGCAACTTCTTGCAAGGATGTAGACTTAGACCTAATGACTCAGATGGTCCTTTCTAGTTCTATGATGCAAAGTCCCTTGAAGTAGACGTCGTAGAAATTCGGCATGATGAATGGGTTACTTAGCTCTTAACTGGAAACCACATATTTCAACAATATGTAGCCTTGCAGCTTGAATGACTGATCCTATGAAAACAGATCAGATCTCATGCCTAGAAATTTTAGCAAAGCATCATATCTGAGGAGTTTTATTCTAACACATTTATTTGCATCTCATGGTGCCTGACTTTAAGCATTTGGATGCCCTGCTGACTTTTTGTTTTATTGCTGTGAATACCTTTTGCATGAAAACTTGGTTGTAAGTATGAGGTGCTGGTGTTTAATTTCTTTTTTTAATTTGTCCTCATTGTAGGATTTGCTCTCCTTGGAGGACATCCTTCCTTCCTTACAACACAAGACATTCATCTGGGCACTAACGAGAGTCTCATGGATACTGCAAGGTTGGTAAGATGTCACTTGACTGATCACTATATATCTGTTAGATCACAGAATCATAGAATCATTTATGTTGGAGAGGATCTCTAACATCATCTAGTCCAACCTTTAACCTAGCACTGCCAAGTCCACCATTAATGTTTAAGGAAGTAGTTGGTCAGGCTGAAACCTGTCTTGCAGGTTTTTCAAAGTTAATATTTTCTTTATGGAAAACGTCAGAAGGCACTCCAAATTCTTAAATACTTACAGGTCAGCACACAGAAAATGTAGCTCTGCACACCGTCAGTCCAACTATTCTAGCTCTCCAGAACATCTCACAACAAGAAACAATTTTATTGAATTTTGGTTGTGGAGTGATAACAAGAGTGACAGTCACACAAACAGAAACATATTACAAACCTCTGTAGGACAGCTCCACTGATAATGGCACATATATTCAGATAAGACTAGAACCTTCTTCTTCTGTTGCTCCTCATGGAGATAGAAGTACAGCTGATTGGTAAATCAAAAAACAAAATCAGAAAGCAAAGACTTTATTTATCCTAGTTATAGTAGCTGCTGGTGAACTCCTGCAGGGGAGCACTGAAGGCCACTCTGATCCCCCCCTTTCAGCAGCACCGATCTTGGCCAACACTTTGCAGCAAATTTTTGATGCCATGTGCCTTCCTCCACTGCCACACTCACTGTCAGGACTGCTTGGAGGCTGGGCTATGGCATCAGTCTCTTATCAGCACCTGTGGAAGATCTTAATCATGCTAAGTCCCACCTGCATACAGGAATGGGTAGCTAGCAGTCTATCCCCATTGCCCTAGCTGGAAATAATTTAGCTCAAAGTAGGCAAAACATGAGGTTATCTTCTGCAGATGCCCTTGCTATTTTTCAGAGCCCTCCATATATTAAAGACTCACTGAGCCTCGGCATTGTGCTTCTTTCTAGGAAGCCCTTTTGCAGCCTGGGGTTGATTCTCTCAGGCTCAGCCGTTGAAATGTTAGTAGCATCTGGAAGATCCTTTTTGTTCTGGTGAAAGATATGCAGTGTCAGGTTTGTCAGGCTCAAGTCAAAATATGCCATCAGCCAGACGAGGTTCCATTGCCCCGCTGTGTATTACAGTTTTCACGGTCTAGTGGGAGAGATTGAGAACTGTGTGGCTGTTCTCTATCTGAGGAAACCCAAGGAAAATGTAAGAAAAATATGAAACACTAGAACATCTAAAATTTTCATTTCCTGCCTTTAACTGCTGAAGTGGAGGACATATGGGTGTTGATAGTAGAAAGTCAAAATTTCAGTCTCTTGAGGCGTAAAAATGCTGACTTCCTGCTAGGTATACATGTATAACTGCCAATATCACAAGAAGCTGCAACTATAGCATTAGATGTTTCTGTGAAACTGTCCCAATGGCTTGCTTTAGTAACTATGAGCTTCAGTGATTCAAAAACTGTGGAAACTCATGAGCCTACAGAGGGACCAGATTAATCTGAGATTTCACAGTCAAGTCTGAGGTATATTAGGTCACTGCATCCACCTGGCCTGTTCAGTAGAGCTGCCAGGGGATTCAAACACATCCCCTCAAAAGAAATTCTTCATACATCATGGCACATTGCCCCAGTATAATTACTCTGTCATATTAAAGGTGAATGGAAGACATATCAAAGGTAGCTCCCCCTAAGTGATAGAAGTATTATTCTCAAAGGATTTCCCCTCTTTTTCATTCCAACCTCCAGGTTGGAGAAGGATGTGGTCGGGGCCCTTGTAGAGTGATCCTCTGCAACAACCTCTCCAAGCACCATTGCACCAGACACGTAGTGCCATTGTCTGGAGGTTCTCTGTTGTTCACATACCAACCCTATGGCAAATCCAGCCCTGTTCTGATCCACAAAAGGACATGTCTTCTGTAGACCTTTTTTACTTCTTCTTCCAAAATAGGGTAATAAAGAGCCATTAAATCTTTGGTTTGCAGTATCTTGAATGACCTTTGCTTGCACAAGCAAAATGGATGAGGAAAGACGGACAGACTACAAGAAATAAGGCAAAAGGCAGAAATAAGGCAAAAGGCAAAAAGAAGCAGACCTTCCATCCATTCCAGAGGAGTCTCCATTTGGTAGAGAAAGCTCCCACTTCCCGTGCAAGCCCTCACCCCACCTTTTCCCTGTCACTGCTTCCCTCTTCCAGGTCAAGTTGCTATTCAAGACCCTGACCTGGGGATTTTTCTGCTCTGCTGAGTCACAGCACTTGCCTATGACAGCGGAGAGAAGGCTTTCCCAAGTCACTACAGAGCCCCACGTGCTCTGCTTCAGTCCTGCTCTCATTAGTGGAATTATTATTGACTTTGCATAATCAAAACTGAGTAGTTTACCCAAAAGAACAACCTGATTATAAATTCCTTGGCATATCTTGTGAATGAAGGATGACATGCCAACCTCATTCAGTTAATGTGAGAATAAAAAAACAATGCTTGTAGTAAACCCAGAGGGTATTTAAAATATTTACAGCTTTGTGTCTAGGGCTCTGAAGGCCTTAGAAGTACTTAAGATTGAGACTTAAAGCAAAGGGGACACAGAGTTATAAAAGTCCACGTTTTTTATTATAATTGCAGCAGGTAAGGGTTGAAAGCATTTCTGCTGTGAACATATTTTTAGTGACTTATTACTTGGTCATAATACAGTTCTTCCGTGCTTCACAAGACATTTACATTTACACTGACACAGTAGCAAAAAGTTACTACCCATTAAGGAGCTCTAAGCCTTTCAGTGTTTAGCATGTGTGATCCACGACGTGAAATGAAATATAAGTATTGCATCTGTTTTTTGCAGTGTAGAGAAGTTCCGTTGTGCACTACTATAGCTCAGTGGCCATAACATTCAGTGGCAGTAATAAAGAGCTCCTAGGATGATTGTACGAGTCCATTGGCGTTATCAGGGATGAATCTCTCCACCTACGGTGGGTGGGTTTACTTCTTACTAAGAACAAGTCTACAACATGCCTCTTTACTACTATCAATGACAATGAAGTAGTCTTTTCAGGAAATTAAACCTTTTGAACTGATACATACTTTCAAAAAATACATAGAATACTCCAAACTCTGGATAACAATATTTTACCCTAAAAGTACACAAATGCTCTAAAATCACAATATATTGGGTTAAAAAGTTCAGAGGTAACATCAAAAGACATATTCTTATTTGTGTTTATTTTTGAATTCCATAGGGGATACAGCTGAGCAAAACTTCACAGCTATTCTAGGTCGAAATAAAATTTATTTTGAAAAGATTCATATGTAGCATTCCAATGTACTCATATATTTACAAGCTCTGGGATTTTGAAGGTTAAGTTTATAGGCTCACAAACAACAAACAAACAAACAAACAAACAAAAACTTGTAGCCGGTGATAGCATAGGAACCTTGATAACTCCATCAAATGCAAAATCACCTGATAAACCTATGCTTACTCCCCCTCACCTTCCAAAACTTCATCTTCACTAAAGACTCCTTTCTAACTAGATCTTTTTTACTATGCAATTCCAGACTTATAGGGTTTCCTTTACGTCGTTTTGCTTACAAGAGACTTCATTTCCTCAGATAAGGTCTAGATTTTTGGCTGAATTTAATTTGGTTTTGATTTCATGAAAGATTATCCCAGTTTCCATCTGGACTTCCTCCTATGAGATATGGTATCTAGAAATGCTAGAAAAAGAACTGTCTGGTGTCTTTCTGGTAGGAGCCCAATAATTTTAGTACCTACTTTCAACAGTGTAAAGATGGAAATGCAGCAGTATTCACTAGTTTGTCATTGATTATGACTGATTTTCCTTTGCTGCCATATCCTGTAAAGGAACCATCTTCTTGAAATGCTTTATCTGTCATGTGAGGTAGGAGTCAGCTGACCTAATATCCTATAAAATGTCCAAGATAAATGGGCAATTTTTCAATGTGATTGCCTCTTTTCCTTGTCTGAAGTGGAACTAGATATTTCTTGTTTAGGGTGGACACCTATTAGATGGCTAACAACAGAGGTCATGCATCATATCTCTGATGGCTAGCTCAGAACAGGTTTTCCAAAGCCACATCCTTCAAGCTAGAATAAAAGAAACCAGACAAACAAAATAATAGAAATCATGAGCCAGGAAGAAATAGTCACACAGACGGTGTTCCAATAGCTTACAATCAGTAAATAGTTTGTTCAGTTCCTCCTTTACACTTGTGGCTGCTATCAGCAGTCTTTCCTTCAGAAAGAGCTCTACTGGGAATCTTGTAACATTTTTAAGAGTTTTGCTTGGGTAAGGAATGTCTGATGTCAGTATAAAAAAAAAATTGTTACTGACTTACTTCATCAGGAAATTTGTCTGTGTAAAGACCATGTGGTTAACAGCTATATTTCCACCTGAGGAGATATCAGAATCCTTTCTGGCTAAACAGAAAGAAATACTGCAACAGTTTTCCACAGTCTTCTCTCCAGTCTCTTCTTTTTTGTTGTTGTTTTAAGGTCCTATTAAAGATAACATTAAAGCACACAAAATGCTACTTCAAAGTCATGCTTAAGGGCTTGATTAAAACAGAAATGCAGAGCCACAATCCATGTTTAATTTATCTAAAGAATTCAGAGCACACTGAGTATGCTATGCTAATCCACCACGCTAATCTCTGACTCTTTCACACTTTGGCAAACGAGGCTAAAGCCAGAGTGGCACAGTGAATCCTGCACGCCCCTATCCATATAATGAGTTTCACACTCGGACATTACTTTAGTGCTGATATCAGGAGTGTCAATATACAGATATATAGATAGGAGAAAGAACAGGCTGCTATTGTTGGCCTCCTGTTCCCATGTTTGTTAAGATCAGTAAATGACTGTGGTGATCTAAGACAGATCTGTAGTCCTAATCCTCACAAAGGTCAAGATACCACGCAGAGGCACTGTAATATCCAGTCAATACTACATTTGTTCTTCGATGAAAGACTCAAGAAATCTTATCTCCTCCAAAGTTACTGAATTCTTCAAGTATTACATTGTTGTGCAATCTCTTATCTTAGTTCATTTATTAACGTAACATAACATTTATTGATGCTCTATCTGTAGCTACAATCAAAAGCTGAAGAGAAACAGCAGTAGTTTTCATTTACTTGCTATGGTCTGTTAATAAGTAAAACTGCTTGCTTATTAGCAGCTTGTTAAATATCTGCATTTAAGTGCTTTATGCAGGCATCATACATTATTCAGAAAACTGAAAAAAAATTTTATTCATTACCACTTCTCATTAATATTTATGCATTGCACATTGAAGGGTGCAAAAGGGATGTATTTATTATGTTTGACTTGGATATCTTCTGCTGTCCCCTAGGGTGCTGTCCAGTATGACAAATGCAATCTTGGCTCGAGTTTATAAGCATAATGATCTGGACCTAATGACGAAAGAAGCCACAATCCCAGTAATCAATGGATTGTCTGATTTATATCATCCTCTACAGATTTTAGCTGATTACCTAACTCTTCAGGTAACAATATAATCCCTGCTTAATAACATTGAGAAAGTCAGGTTCAAAACTGTTTAGTCCTAGGTTTTTCTAAGTGGTAATTGCATGACACTTGTTATTTAAACAGATCTTTATTCAGGAATATAATTAAGAATCTTTTTAATTTAAAACAATTACTTAGTCCTACCCACTGTAGTGGTACTGACGTTAAGCATAAAATTAAGCATAAAATTAATCATTGGAATTAGGCTACAATTTTAAAAATGTACAGGGAGGGTTAAATACTAAGATAAAGGTGAGATGCTGGCTTAACCAACGCTAAGGGAAGTTTTGCTACTGACTTTAAAAGACTCAGTAGTTCACTCTTGATGCTGCCCTAACCCATGAACAATGTAAAAGGAGTCGTTATCCATATATTGGGAAATTGCTTTGAATTTACTTTGAAAAGCCAGTTAATGCTACCGGTGCAAATCCCCAATGTTCAGGCTCTTAAACCTATTTAAACTTTGCTCACATCAAAGAACAGTTAACAAAGATCATATTTTGTAGCTCTAATCTAATGAAATATTTGGTTTGACAGCTGGATGACATTTTACACATAGAATGCCAGATGTTTATCTGTGAACAGAAGGACTATGCTGTTTTACAATCAATTGAGGAACTAGCTTATTAAAAAATATTGGTGTACTGCAGGGCTGGTTGACAACGTTGATGAACTCTTCTGACCTTGTTTGCTTTCTGAATGAATAAAAATCACACTGCTTGAAAAAAGGAGGGTTAGAATAATTTCCTGATTCATTCAGCTGTGTTTCTCAGCTGTCAAAGACTCTCCTATAGGACGTTTGGTATATGGAAAAGATCTAGTGAGAGAAATAACAAATTATACGTGCCTTTAAATACTGAACCATTCAGATGTTTAGTGAAAATACTTTTTTGTTACTTTGATTACTATTTTTCTTACAATTTTCAATAGTAAGAATGAAGAGACTAGCAAAAAAAAAAAAGTGAAATTGAGATTAAAATGCTTTGCATACCTCAGGATACGTGCATGTGGGAGATTACTTTGAGCCAGCTTCAGTGAGCTGTTAAAATTATGTAAGATGGTAAGTCATAATGAGAACGTCATCAAACACTGTAAATCATCTTTTTATTTAAACACTGTGCAGCTGTAAAACTGATGGATATTATCACTGTGTTTTGGGAGGTTCTGTCTTACAAACACCTTGGTTATTAGCATTTTAACAATTGAGAATAGCAAGTTTCACCAGTAATCATGACTCTTAGTCTCCATAATTGCTGGTATCTCTGCCAGTAAATCTTGTTTCATCCACTGTTCTTGTTCATGCCACTGACTGCGGCACCAAACTTCAATGTTGTTGCCCTGTATTCCATCTCTTGTCAAGGAAGGGAGGCTGCTGAGCATCTCAGTTACCCTCTAGAGTTGTGTCTCTTTCTCCACTGAATTTGGGAGAAACCTGCTGAGATTGGCTGAATGGGTAGATGCCCTGTTGTTCATCCTTAGCTTCTCCTCTACTGTGTCCCTGAATAGGGCAGAAATTGTAGAAGCTCCAGGTGAGCATGACCCAACAGGGTGGGCTTTCCCTTGGTTGGAATACCCAGGACAGCATTAGCAGCAGTCACTGTCCTTGTTACATCAAGCACTGCGGAGGGAGTTTTTGGAATAAGTGTTCCTGCCCATTTGACGTGATGAGGAAACAGAATTATAACAGCTGATGCTCAAAAAGAAACATCCAACGTGGAGAGGTATTGTGATAAACTGAGCACTCACTGAGGTCTCCGGGAGTGACTTTGCTTTTGGACAGCCATGGAAGCGTTTTAAAATTTGCAACACTTTCCCAGTCAACCTGCTAGCAGAGCACTGTTTCCTCCAACCACTCCTATCTCTCCCCTGATCTTTCCAGCATGTTCTTAAGCTCAGAGTTTGTCTGAGCAGCTGGATAGTTGCCCACCTTGCAGAGGGCACGCTGCACTTTACACTCTTGCTTTCTTACCCAGGAGGCAGGGAGGGAGCTCCCAGCAGCGCACTGCGGCTGTTGGCACCGTGTGCTCTTTTCCTTTCTGCCCTTCTGCTGCCTTTGTTGTTTTCTGCACAGGATGCTGAGGTAAAGAAGGCTGGTCTTACAGCACCTAATAAAACAGCATTTCACTCGTGTAATGAACTTTACCAGTTCACAGAAGTAGTATTAACACTTGAAGAAGTGGGAGCCACAGGGTCTAGTTGTTGCTTACCACAATCAAACTTCTCATGGGATTCTCTGCAGCATAAGGAGATGTTATCTGAGCACTTCCTGCAAGAAGATTAATATGGGGATGTTGAATAGCACCACTGATTCTTTAAATCAGTTAGAAATTCACATATAACATTCGGACTGCTTTTCTGCAATGCAAAAGCAATTTATTTGATTTATGCATGTATGCAAAATACAATAGTGACACAGACTGATAGCCTTATATTTACATATGGCTGCAGAATTTATGCAGCTGATTTCTCCTAAAAATGTCTCTTCTTTATCTCTGTAAATACTTTCTTGCCTGTATTTGGCCTCTCCCTGCTGTCAGTACACACCCAAAATGTACTTTTTTCTCTTCTTTAATCTCCCTTGGTGTTTTCCACTGCAGCTCTACAGGCATATTGGCCCTCTTCACGTTTAGCACATCTTTATTCCTCCATTTTCTAAATCCTGTTAATTTCTCCAGATGCTTTCTTGAATCTTCTTCAAGAACTTCCTCTGCCTTGTTTCCTGGTTTGTTTTGTCAGGTTGTCTTCCTGCTTATGGCTTCTGATTCCTTTTTCACAGGTGCATTTTGTGTTTGTTAGGTTGTTTGTTTGTTAGTGTATTCTAGCCCATTGCCCAGACATTTTTATTACTGGGTTTATAACTGGGGCTGTCTCTTTCTCGTTCTGTATTGAGGGTGTTCTTGTCAGGCTACAAACTGTCATGAGTATTGGGGTGAGATCCTTCAGGTTCAACATCCTCTTGCCCAGTGCCTTCTTCCTGAGCAACCTGCAGCCCCTCACAGGTTTTCAGTCTGCGTGGGCTCTCCCCTTTAATACTGCGGTCAGTATTAATGTCCTCTATTATGCCAACAGGTTTGTTTTCCTTACCATACCTGGTGCATTCTTTCTAAAAATCGGTTTGTGCTGAGTTTGCTCTCGACTTGAAACCCACTAGAAATGGTTGTAAACATTTTGCAACCTGATTTGGAGAGCGTGAGGGTTTGGCCTTAAGAGACTACAATTTGGTGTGCTGCTGCTGTGCACATGGAGGGCCGTTTTATGTCCCTCTCTGTGCTGAAGAGGTACAACAGCCGCTTCCTGAGCCCACCCACTGCCTCTCAGTCTCCTGGGCAGAAGCCGTGGCTCTCAATTTCTGTTCGGCGAAGCTGGGCTGGCGGGCAGCATCACACAATTTGTATTCTGGGGACAAAGCAGGTATTGACATTGATTCAATTGATATTAATGTCACTGGCCAAATCAGCTAGCTTGTAGCTGACTGCAGGATGGCCAGACTGGTAATTAGAGTGGATCCATATGCCACTAGCTTTTATGTCGCTGGTCTGAAGGGAAATTTCTTTTTCAGAAAGAAATGGTTGGCATAAAGAAATGTTTAGCATAACAAATGCATCGGGGGTTCCTTTTCAAATAGCGCAACAAATGACAGCATCGCCCTGTTTGAAGGGGGGTGCTGTCTATTCTCAATCTTTTCCCAAACTGTAACCCAAAGAGCTCAAATTATTATAATCTTTAAATTCATCACCATCAGCAGCAGCATTATTCTAACAATTGGAAATCCCAGATAAGATCCAGACGGATCATCTGGAACACACTGTTTCAATAACCATGCCAAACACCGAGGTAGGAATAAAATAACTGGTGCACCATGTGCCTCTCAGGGTTGCCCTGGTTTTTATTTACCAGGTCACGCTGTCTCCCAAAGGGCTAAAGCTTTGACTGTCCTCTGCTTTCCATTTAAAATTTTGATGGACTATTGATTCATCATTCAAAAGCTTGCTTTAATTGAGGGCTGCTATGACCATTGAGGCCGAATGTTTCAGAAGGAACTTATAATGGTGTCAGAGTTTCTGCCTTGCTGGAAGCAATCCCACATAGAGTCAGACATGAAAGCCCCTAATTAATTAATTAGTTCGTCGTCTCCAAACATACAACAGTGCTATACCGTTGAGCACGCTTATTTTTCCCCATGGTTTGGTGCACTGATACACTGCAACCATGGAGAAGAACAGAATGAAACATAGCAGAAGAAGCATGAGGGTGAGAAAGTTGACTGTAAAATTGGCATTAATTATTTAACAGGGATTTTTTTCATGAGAATAGCAAAACCAGGTTTTGTTTCACTGAAACAGCAGTCATCAGCTTGCCAAAGAGTCACTCATGAGGGAGAAGGACTCTAGATTTTCTAAATATTGTTTTGTGGTTTTACCAGTAGCCTAAATATTTTGAAGTCAGGTCCCAAATATAAAGAGAAACTGCAGAACACCCTATCAGGTAAAATGCCTATGTTAATATAACAGAGTTTGGAAAAACTGGGGAGTGATACAAGGGGAAAAGTACCTTCAGAGTGCCAGGGGAAAAGATTCTGGTTTAACCTTGATCATTACAGTCATGGGAAACACTTTTTGCAGGTTTTCCTCTGTGTAGCTGATCAAGCATGTGCTACAAAATAGAAATACAAAATGTGTTATTGTATTGCCTTCATTGGTTATGACCAGTGCAATCCTCTCATCTTTCTCACGTTCTTGGATGCTGGGGATGTATCGATACAGGATGCCCTGCAGCATCTACGCACTGAGGATAAGCACCAAAGCCACAATCAGAGTGAGATGGCTTTAAGTGAAGAGGTAGGAATTGCAGCAGTTGTTTACCAGCAGCAGCACAAAGCCTAGCACACGATGTAAAATAGGCTCCACTGGCATGCACACAGCTTGATTCTGCCTTGACTACGACTTCTTCCATTAGCTGAACATCTTCATTAAGGATAGCTCAGCTATGTCCACTCTATACAGCAGTCACGGCAGAGGTGGCTTTGCAATTTGCAGTGCACATTATGAGGGTTATTATACAGACATCTCTGGTATTTTGTATTTTATCCATACCAGCTAGTAGCTAGGGAAAACAGAGGAAAGTATTTAATATGCACTGTGCTTCTTTTAATGCAGAGTAGCAGCTGGTAATAAGGTGGAGGTTATTTAACATAGCAGTGTATTTGTGACTCACTAGTCAGTGCTTTGAGCATTACAGGCTGTGATGTCTATTTTTAAATAGTGAGATCAAAAGAACTGAGGGTTCTCTCATTTGCTCCTAGCTGTGGGTTTGTGTCTCAGCTATTGCTAACCCCTCGCTGGAAACAGCTCCTTAAAGAAATGCCTCAGTTTGGCCTTCTCCTAGGAACATCATTGCTAGGAGATGTGGAAGGATTTTGAATGATGCTTAGAGACTTGCAGAGCTGTTCTACTAAAATAACTTCCATGTCCGCAAGGTCCTGCTTTGCTCTCCCATAAATGATGCCCTCACATCACAGCTCTGCCCATGAGCCTATGGTTGTCTACAAATCAAAAAGCTATACTTTCACGACATGATATTTTTAGCTTTTAAACTGTAGGCAGCCTAGGACTCTTAGGTTTAGATTTCAACTGCATTTTAATGGCATTAAATATTTCAGCTGCTACTATTTTTGACGCAAAATTGTGCTCACTAGCAGAAACGACAGTAAATTCGGTCTGCAACAACTTTACAAGCATTTGTTTAGGAAAGGCTGCTGCCAGGAGAGGGGCGTGCAGTTCCAGCCCTTCTCCTGTTCAGCCTTTTGGCATCTTTGCTGAGCCTTCCTGCAAGGTAGCCTGTCAGTACAGCTCTGCAGTCTGGATGCTTATCCTCTCTGACAAGCACTGAACCACGTCATACAAAGTGTTGAAACACTGTCTGGCTTCTAGCTGATACAAGGCAATAGTATTGAGGCCCAGTTTTGAACTAAGAATAAAAGGCTCTCCATTAGCCTTTCAAGCCATGAGGTGGAGTAGTACAGAGCAGGCACATAGAAGCACTTGGTTACATCTCTGCAAGTTTTCTGGTCTCAGCTCAAGTACCTATAAACTTGCCTATTTAAAACAAGCCTTGCTAAAGGGCTTCAAATTGTCATGATCTGCAGATGGGTGCTGCTGGTCCTCTTGTTCCTCCTTAGACCTTATCTGTTGGTGTCTAAGGGCCAGAGTAGCTGCACATATACGGGCTGTGAGTGAAATCAGGCAAAGCTACAGTTAACACTGCAGTGCTCTTCCAGGTTAGGGTAATCCATACCCTCATAAAATCACTGCATTCTTTGGCATCATCTTGCTCCCTGTGTCATCATCTTGCTTCATTTTCCTGGAACATAACCCCAGGGCTGTGTGGTTCATCTGGCAGGAGCACTACGGTGGTCTGAACGGGCTCACCATCACCTGGATCGGGGATGGAAACAATGTCCTCCACTCCATCATGACGAGCGCTGCGAAGCTGGGAATGCATCTGCATATTGCAACGCCCAAGGTAAGAAAGCTGTGGGCATGGAGAAAGAAGGGCAAACCTTTGATTTTGCAAGATACAAGAATCAATTAGAACAAAGAATTAACTGATGTATCGGTATTTCATTCTGTAACTGATGAAATACATTTTCCTTACCTTATCGGAATACTTTCTAGCAGTTTATCCCCAAAATGAACTTCCAACAAAATCAAAGTAATTTCCTGAAGCTTTACAGTGCTGAATAACATGCTTTTTCCAAAGGAAAATGGTTCAGTCAGTATTTTTCTAATCATTAAAGATCTTATGTATGTTCCATCGTGTTATCTATCACCTCTTTTGGCAGGGCTTTGAACCAGACCTGAGAATAATGAAAATAACTGAACAGTACTCCAAAGAGGTATGAGCCCAAGAAACAGCCTATTACAGTAGTTTGAATAGTTTACTTTTGCTATAAATGAAGTTGAAGTTTTGTGATTTCCTGATCTTCCTTGTTTTATTCACATTAGTATGGTACCAAGTTGCTTCTCACAACGGATCCGTTGGAGGCTGCAAATGGTGCCAATGTCTTAGTTACAGATACATGGATAAGCATGGGACAAGAAGAGGAAAAGGAACGAAGACTGAAGGCATTTCAAGGTTATCAGATTACAATGCAGGTAAAAATTCAGATTTCATTTTTGGCTGATCCTTTTACAGATTGCGTTTGTAAGAATCAACTTCAACAAAGCATGGGTTTGGTGTGGCTTTGAGTGGAGCTATAGGGAAAAACAAACAAACAACAACAACAACAAAATGTGCAAACCTTACTTCAGCTTGAAAACTCACAAAATAACAAGTTTTGGGTTAATATGTACTCTTCACATGGCTGGCCTCTCTCAGAGCTTCCCAATGAGATCTAAATCCAGAACATAACCAGTGCAGGAGAGCTAATCCTTTACTTTTTTATAAAACAAACAAACAAACAAAGACAAACAACAACAAAAACCACTATTCCTAACCTTCCTTTTTTTTTTTTTTTTTTTTTTTTTTTTTTTTTTTGCCACCAGAAAAGATCCCTTACATTTTATTTAATAGGAGCAGCTCACAGATTAATTCATAGTCTGGGCATAATCTGGAACAATTTTGTGTCTATCTGCCAATGTATAAAGCACAGAATAAATGTTTTTAAAAATCATCTAGTTGAAGTGCATATCAGAATAAAAACAGACATAATATGATGTTGTAAACTATTAATTGTTCAAGAAAAAAGGACATTTTCCTTGCTGATAGAATTACTGCTGATTTAATTGACACTATTTTAACGTAAGTTCATAAAATACTATTAATGGGTATGTCTCTGAATTGGCTTAAATCTTCATTGTTTATTGATATTAGATCAATACATGTATATTACGAGTGACAATATCAAAAGGAAAAAAAAATCTCAGCCTTTTAAATCATGGTTTAATGTGTTCTTGTTGAAATTATCTATAGTATTATATTATTGTGTGACATTCGAATACAGATTTATTGATCTGTACTTTATCGATCCACTAAGTCACTAGAGTTTTTACTTCCTTCTAAAGTCAGAGAAATAGAAGTAAAAAATGGAATTTGTGAAAGCAGCACTGAACTCTTACTGACTTGAATGGGGATATTCCCACCTTATTCACTGATAAGAAATTCTTTTGATGTCAGTGGAGTTCTTCTGAGTTCATCATCAAAGTCACTAGAATGGGAGCTAATGTGAAATTTGTAAACCTTTTTACCAGTTAAAGTTTTCATTAATGTAATAGCATATGTCTTGATTTTTTTTTTATTCTTTTTGATCTGCAGACTGTGAAATCTGCTGCTCCCAACTGGACATTTTTACATTGTTTACCAAGAAAACCTGAAGAAGTTGATGATGAAGTATTTTATTCTCCAAGATCATTGGTTTTCCAGGAGGCAGAAAACAGAAAATGGACAATTATGGTATAAAAAGGAAGATAACATTATTTAGAGGTTAGGTCAGCTTCTGTCCTGCCCTACTTTACAGGCTTGGATTCAATATGGTCTCTCAATAAACCATAAATATTAATACACATATTTCAAATGCACCCCGCTGCACATCATAGTTTTGACTGTAGGCAACATATATTTGTAGCTCAAATACTTCTGGACACAAATGTGACCTATTTTGATAATAGTCTGCAGTTGCTTGACCCAGTTTTTATCACTAAGTGAAACCTGAAGTATGAACTGCAATTTTATTTTATTTTATTTTATTTTATTTTATTTTATTTTATTTTATTTTATTTTATTTTATTTTATTTTATTTTATTTTATTTTATTTTATTTTATTTTATTTTATTTTATTTTATTTAAATCACCAGGTTTACACTAATGATTAACTTAGCTGCTCCATTTTAAAATGTTAAATGCTGAGGTCCCAGGGACTGGTCCGACAAACTACAATTTCCCAAACACTTAAAGCAGATGGTGCTAGAGATTCTGCATTTTTTTCTCAAGAAAAGCTGCCACTGAAACCAATGGGAACTTTCCCTGAGAAAGCACCACAAGAGCAAAACTTTGAAGGACCCTGCAAAGTCATGGTGTGTGTGGTACTGTGAGATCCATGGGAACCATGAGAGGACACTTGGCACTTAATGTAAACCATAACGCCTCTCTCAGCATTCCTAGAATTTCAGAAAATTGCTGCTGGATCTCAGTAGGCTATTATTTATTGGTGGCGTTAGAACCATCATGTTGACAAAAGCTAGTGAAAACTTTGAGATGAAAAACCAAACACAAATGGCATTAACATAGCTCTCAGATGAACTATGAACTCTAGATGTGCTTTAAAGTAGTAAGTGGCTGAGTATTGTATGTACCAAAACATGAGTTTCTGGACACGGTGAAAATTATTAACAAATTTGTATTAAATTCAGTGCGGTGTTTTGGCCTTAAACTTCTGAAAAGTGCTCATACTTTTTATTTTATTTTTACAATGTTAATGACCCTAAAACAAACACATAAAAAACACCTTTACTTTGGGTTCAAACTACACATTTTGTTTGGTTAAGAAAAGTGTCAGACCTGTATTTTATCGAGCTAAAAAATAAAGAATGCATGGGCTTTGTTTGTACCCTATTTTCTAACCCTTCCAGCTCAGCTAGCAAACTGAAAAATAAATTATTTGCGCGGCTCTGGAATGGGCAGCAGTGGGGGGCTGCACAGCTGTGTGTTCAGTCCCCACCGTGTGCCTGGGTCTATCTGGCACACTGAGTGGTGCTGTGGGGAAAGGAAAGACAGGCAGCAAGAGCACAGCCCCTGTAAATCTTGGGCCAAAAGAACAATGTACAGTCAGATATCTCTGGGAAACCACGACAGGGTGAAGCAGGTAATACCTTCTCAAAACTGAGCAAGAACAGGGGCTCATTGTGCGTACAGGTGCAGGGAGGCCAGCAAAGCTGCCTCAGCACTATTTTATTTAGCTGACTTTCCTGTTTCTCATTTCATGGCCCAAGGGTTTGTTGGAGCTGTGTATCAAATACTAGGGGGGAAGCAGGAGGGGCACATGACACACGATTAACCTCAGTGAGTATTTTCCATGTTTTACCACAGAAAGTATAGCTAATCTGGGATACATTTTGAAGCCCTTATTCAAGTATGGCTGTTGCTGATGCTAATGGCAGCTCTACTGAAATCTGCAAGCAAGCCCACCTGCTGTTTTGGTACCTACAGCATTTCCTAGGAGCAGCTGAGGATACAGTATAGCACACCAAAAAGGCCTCAGCTTTTGGTCTAAATGTGCATTGTCTGAATTTGTGCTAGGCTGTCCATTAATATATTTTGTCTGCACTAAAAAAAACCTATCAGCTGTGATACAGAACATCCTAAGTGATTTTCAGCTCTTTCCTGATTCATCATCAGAAATTCTAGCAAATAAATCTAAGCATGCACTTTTTGTCAGGCCAATAACTCTCAACACAAGACTTAGAGCTAGAAAATATTTTCCCCTTATTTATTTTTATGGAGTATCTGTTTCCAAAATGATTGGATTTTTTCTTTTCCTCCTCCTCTAGGCTGTCATGGTTTCCCTGCTGACGGATTACTCACCACAGCTACAAAAGCCTACATTTTGATGCTTGGATTCCAGCCAAAAGAAAAAATGGCAGAATATTCTGGTCCGCAAATACGTCTATCTTCTTCAGAAAGGATCGAGGCAATGAATGATGCTTTAATAAAACTGTGTGGTTAGATCTGCTGAAGTATGTAATATTGCATTACATTTGTGAAAATGTTTGAGACAATAAACGCCATTGCAAAAGCTGCTTCTTATATAGAGCCTCTAAGCTGTGTACCTTCTCTAATGATCAGCATCACTGAAAAATTTCCAAAGCTTTCCAAATCCTTAACGAAATAGTTCTTTAAGGATTGGCTCTACCAGCATCAGAGGCATATTACAATCTGTTTTTTTTTTTTCTTTCTTTTCTTTCCTTTTTTTTTATTTTTTTTTCTATTTACCTTGTAGCCCTGTTAGAACTAGCATTGTGTAGTATGACAGACATAAACTTCTCCCAAAACTGATCCAACTAATTGCTGATCTCAGGGAAGGTGAGCAGACCAGCAATGTTTTACTGTTGGCCTTCGTTGCCCATGCTTCCTGGGTGCCCTGGCTGCTGTTTCTGTCCTCCAGCTAACCTCCAAATTTCTCTACTGTTTGACACTAACAATACAGAGACCCTGAGAGCATTATCTTCCTCTGTGACATTCCTGTGGGCTGGCACAGGAGGATACTGCTGCAGAACTGGAACAGAGCAGCTTCCACAGAGTTGGATGCAGAGAGATGCGGCTGGAAGGAATCGGTTCGTTCTTTGTCCATCTCTCCTAGATCTTTACTCCCTAAACGGAATTTTGGCTAAAGAAGCAAGTTTTCTAACTAATTTTCTAAGCAAAAACAAGGGGCAGATGATGGCATTGTGTACAGCTCCTTTGTGGAAAGAATTTGTTTCATTTCATCTGGTGCTGTAACTTGGTGTACATTTCAGCTAATCCCTCTCAGCAGTGAATAGATTCATGACATTTGTATTTTTTATGATGGCTGGATGTGTGTGTATTTCAGCTAAAGCTTTGTGAGCTATTAAAAACCACCTTCTTTGTTGTTGCTAATTAGTTTCAAGAACATGTCGGTGTGTTTCCTACTGTAATACTTGAACGTCTGTGATTTTTTAAAAATCTGCAAATTGGTTTCCATTTTGTGATCAGCTGCAAAATGTTATTTAATTAATTTCAAAATTGGAATTCACTGCTGGGCCACACATAACACCAAAATGAAAATAAAAGTACGTTTGTTTATCTTATAATTGATTCATGGTTTTTGCAAGCATTTTTGCGTCTCTTGTTAAAATTAACATTTTCCATCAGTACACTAGAAGTGTTTCAACAAGTCAGTGATCATTGACACTTCAGCAGAAATCTAGCTGCAGAAAGAATGGAGGAGTAAAGTATTTTATAGAAATCAATATTTTACTTTACAATTTATCACAGAATCATCTAGGTTGGAAGAGACCTCCAAGATCACCTAGTCCAACCTCCGACCTAACACTAACAAGTCCTCAAAGTCCTCAAGTCCTCAAGTCCTTATCCTATGTGAAAAAATGCATGCAATACAGTATATATCTGGCTGTATTAGATCCTGCTTTGTGAACTGGGTTCCAGTTCAGCAAGACGACGCTTAAAACTGTATTTGGTCCTTTTGGAACCAGTGAACTATGCCAAGTGCTTAGGTTGTCGATATCCTTACTAACCTGAATTTAGTGCTGAGAGTAAGACAACTCGTTTGGATAGTCCTCTCATGAAAAAATATTATTATCAGTTTAATTATGTTGATTAATATGCTATCGGTGAAGTCTGGCAGTTTTAAAATAACAGAATTGTTTTGTTACATGTTTCACGGTGAGCAGATTAAGAATTATCTTCCACTCTTTCGCTTCTCTGTGCTCTGATTAGAGCCAACATGCATCTAGGTTATCACAGACTCTTTTTATACTTAGGAATCCAAGCAGGATGCCAGACGTCTGAATCCCCTTGACATTTTTAAAACACATGGATAGATCTGCTGCATAGCACATGAGCAATGGAGTCCAGCATGTCCAGTGGGTTGATTTCATGTGATTCCTCTGTGATGATCTACAGAAAAGGATGACGGTCCTTATAGTCCTTGATCTGTCTTGGACAAACTACTCACACCATCAGCTGTCCTGATACTTTTTGGAAGTCCTGAGTGGGCTTAGAGCTTACTAGATATTTCTACACGTGCAATGTGAGCCAGGCACATCCCTGCAGGTCGGAGTTACTGAACATGTGCAGGCTGTCTGCACAGTGCATGCTAAGCAGATCTGACGCTTCCTGGAGGCATTGGGCTGGTACCAAACAGGCGTGTATGTTTCTGCTGCAGGGACCAAAAATACGGTGTCCTTAAGGCTTATTGTTCTGCCTGAAGGGGCTTGCACTGCTTGCCCTGGCATCAGAACAGCTCTGTGTGGCTTAATCCACCTGTGCAGGTTAATCATTCTGGGATTGCTGCATGGTAGTGTGCAAGGCCCCATTATTATGCCATCCAGACTTCTGAATTCATTACCCAAATTTACAAGAGATGACTGCAAATGCAGCATGTAAAGGAAACAGCAATAATATGGAAAGATTTTGTAGGGGGGAAAAAAAAGTTCTCAGCATTCAAAAAGCTTAGAACAAATGCATAACAGGTAGCAGTCACTAATAGCTTACGGTGTTTTTCATTACATTTATTATGCTTTAATCAGTAGAAGTGCTGTTTTCACTGATGAGTGCACTTGAAGTATAGTTGTGTTTTTTTCTTTTTTCTTTTTTTTTCTCCATCTTTTTACACTGAGGCTCACGCCTGGTTCCTGGTAGTCAAAACCTTCCTATCCCCAAAACCCCTCTCTTCTGTTTGACCTGGACAGCAGTCCCAGGTCAGGCCCCACACACGGACCGGCAGTGCGGGTGTGCCGTGTCCCACACTGACTTTGGTGCCCAAAGACTAACCACAGCTCCAAAGCTGGTACTAAACCTGGCTTTGAGGTGCCCAGGGTAAGCCTGATTCCAGCTGCGGCCTTCTCGGACATCTACGGGCCTCAGAGACATGAGCACAGGCCTGGCAGATGTGGCACAGTCTGCTGGGCACTTAGAGCAGGAGCTGGTGGCCAGCAAAGACAACCTACAGTGCCTCAAACAGCCCTAGAGTATTATGCTTTGGCACCCAGTCCAGCCCCACTGCATCATCATGGTCCTCAAGAGTAAATGTAAAAGTCAAATTACTCCTCTCCTACACCTAGGGGTAGAAATGTAGTATTGCTAAGTAGCAGTTTAAGCACTGTAAGCTCTTGTTCCGCAGTCGGTTCCCAGTAGTGGTGGGATTCCTTGGCCACCTCTATCATGAAAATATATCCGAATATATTAATTTATGAATATATGAAAAATATCTGAAAATAATCCAACCTTTGTTCTTGAGTCAGTGCAAGAAGAGGGGAAAAGAGCTCCTCTATAGTTTTCTTCAAGAGTAAGAATAGTTTTTTGTGTGTGTTTTTTTTTTTTTGTCCTGTGTTCTCTATTACATACACAGAGGACACACTGCACAGAAACAGCAGGCCGGCAGAAAGAATCTACAAATTATAAGTATCTCAAAGAACTTGAGGAACAGTAACATTAGAAAGGACTCAGTGGGGATCTTGGACAATCAGGAAGAAACCTGAAAGTCCACCAGAATTCCTGAATGTATGTTTACCCCTCATAAAAAAAAAAAAAAAAAATAATAAAAAAAAAGCCAGAGCTAGCCAAAATCATTAAATCATTTCTCAGCCTTTAAAACTCTGTAAGAAAGGGAGGAGGAGCTGCATGAAGGTCTGAGCAATGCACTGAGATGATTGTTCAATTTGGGGAGAGCTTTCCCGGCTGGGCCAAAGCATCTCGAGCTTCGTTTTGTTTTCCAGGAATGTGTAATACCGGAGGAAAGGCTGAAAAACACTTTTCTGCACACAAAGGGAAAGGTTTCTTCTTTCTTCTGGGTTTCCCATTACTCAGTTAATCACTTGGTTAATGTATTGAGCAAATAAACAGTGCTTTTTTTGATTATTTTGCCAGGGCTATTTAATCAGCTGCTTTTCAAATGCAGAGCCCAGAATTTCTGGGTCTTGCCCAAGGTTATGTGTACAGAGACACTTCATAAGCCACAATAAACATTTTATTCAGCCCAGCATTTGCTATCATGACTAATGGGATACAGCTATTTGCAAGGCTGTTTGGTTCTTACACAATCTTGTTACCAACTCTTTGAAGAAATCCCAAACCTTTGTGGCCTCTGTAAATGCTGATGATCCCTCCCATGCCTGTGTGTGTGCTCAGGGGATTTTCTCTAGGGGCAAGCAATCCGGGGTGACTCCATTCAGAGAGCAGATCTTTCTCAGCCACAGTCAAAGCATTGTCTGACGCTGCCAAAAGCCTTGGAAAGCTCCTTGTGGTCAGTGTTGTATGTTAGAGGACTATTGAATTCTGCTGCTCTCTAATGGGCCCGTTTTAAGGGGATTGGCACCCGTGCAAAGCAGGCTGTAACACAAGCAAAATATATCCAGAAAGGGGGACAAGCACCAAAGTTTCTACCTTTGTTGGTCAAAGTTACTGCGTTTAGCTGAGACTTAAGCTGTGAGGAATCACAGCAATAGCTGGGAAAGAGTACTGAAGAGTGGACAGGGCAGGTGCTTAGTGATTTAAGCACCAAAAAAAAAGAAGTTCATCGGAAGGAGAAAGCTAAACTGCTCACTCACGCAGGCTGTGGGACTCCACAGGTCCCTCTCCAGGTCAGAGCCAGCAAGTTCAGTGGTGTCTCACCCAACTGACTTCGGTCTTCTCCAGTATCTTCATCCGAAACGCCCAGCTTGTGGTGGATGCTCATCCCCTCCGTGCCCCCGGGACCCCTGCCCAGCTTTGTGGGGCTGGGCCCCCACCTGCTGCAGCCTCAGTGGGGCAGGTTTGTGCCCATTTTATGAACCTTGTGGTGTGCAGCACCCCCCGGACCCGCAGGTGGGGCCTTATGCATTCTCCTGACGGACAAGAGCATGTCGGAATTGGTATCACTCGGGGGATATCTGCTTGCTGTGGGAACGTAACTAATTGAAAAGAAATGCCTCCCAGCGCCGCGAAATCCTTGTGTGAGTCATCAGCAGGCTCTCAAGCCCCACTCCGCAGCTCAGATTTCTGACTTAAACCCTGGAGTAGTTTTGGGGGATTTCCGAGCACCAGGAAAAGCAGCCCACTCCCCTGGGTGTTTCTGCCCCTCACGCAGCCTGGCGGGCACGGCCACCTCTGATGGGAGCAGGAGCAGGGAGCACGGAGGGACTGAGGGCACTTTAAGCTCAGACTGACTTCAGACAATGAAATGTCTTAATCCTGATCCAGCAATACATAACACACCTCATGTGTCAGTCAATCACCACCTCATAGGCATATAAACCTGTAACACGGAGTTTGTGATAGCACAGACTACAAGGAGAGAGCCTCCAGATCTCCCTCTCTTATTCTTCTGTGCTGTGACACAGCTGGGTCTTTCTTCAAGTCCGTCTGTAACCCTAAATTTCAGGTGCTTTGTGTAATTACAATGCCCCTGTGTTTTACTTTAAATTACTTACACATTCATGCAATAGAAGAAATTTTTAAAAGTGTAGCCAAGTAATTTGATTTTGAGAAGTGCTCCGGAGGAGACAGGGGTAGACACACATAATTTGTCTCCTACCAGCTTTATGAGTCCCCCTCTCACAGGAAAGCCGACAATTCCGTCCAGAAATAATTCCATTAGACATGAAATATCAGAGCTGTGAATCACCGGGCATTTCAGAGCATCGCTTCACAGCGGGAGAGCAGCTGAAAACTGCACCGGAGACAGGAGTTTAATTCTTATTGTAGCACCAGGGAGGAAAATGCAATCAAAAACAGCCATAGGAAGTTGCGGTACAGCAGAACCATCTATTTTACCAGCCGTCTTCCTGGGAGAAAGAAGCCAGGAGATTATAGTTATTCTTCTAACAGCGCTGTTGATTTAGCCAGGGTAGTAACTAGGATTCTCAAGACTGCAATCAAGGGCTCTGAACAACGTGTTCAGCAACTCCTCGGCAGGACTGCGTTGTAGGGATCACGCACACGTTGCTTTTAGGCATCCACATAACAGGAGGATAACTGGTCCGACCGAGGAAAGGCTTTCCTCGTGCACTGAGAGGGCAGTAAGACCAATTGGAGGTGTGTAAGACAGAAAGGATCCTGAATTGTGGGGGCAGTGAGCTGTTAATACTCGGAGCCACAACGGGTTTTCTTGCTCTTCCCTCTTGCTGAGCTGGACAGAAGAGCAAGCATGCTTATTTTGAACATCGTACCTGGCAAGTGACAATAATTTATAGGCACGGGACCTGACCTTCAAGGGACATAAATTCACAGAAATCACGTGGAGCACAGCACTCAGCATCTCTGGAAGCCAGCACGTACTGCCTGCCTCCAGATCACTGGTACCTGTGTAAGACAGGTGTCAAGGCTACTGGAAAACAAAAAGATCCTCTGCAGCTTTTGGACAATCTCCAAAAGAGGTAGCGAGTGAGGCTGTCCTGTTTTTCAACCCGCTGATGGAGAACCATTACTCAGTAAGATGTCTGGATGCCAAATACCACGGTGGAGAGAGAGGACATCTATTATGATGGTTGTTTGCAGAAGCAAACACAGGAGCAGGAGCACGCTTAACCATGAATGCTCTGGGAAAACGGGTGGCAGGTTTTTAGTTTAGTTGTACCTCTCAGTATCAAAGCACTTTGTCGAGGCAGTTTTGCAAGACAGAGCTCAATCTTTTGTTCTGTCGTACTGTCCTGTAGCCAGGATTCTCTTTCAGTTTTCCAGACACCCAGAATCATCAAAAGTGCTGGAGAAATGGGCTGGCTGTTCCTCCTCTGCCTGTTCCCCTCTCTTAAGTACCAGCATCCCAATTCATCTCTCAGCTTCCCAGCACCCAGGAGTGCAATACAGTGTGGAACAAAAGCCTCAGATGAGAGATTTCAAACAGCAGCAACAACAATAAAAGCTTTAAAAGAAGTGAATACAGAGTCAGTCCGTTTGTGCCATATATTGCCTGTAAGCACAAAAAGAACATTGTGTCCTCAGATAAAAACTGAGGAGCGATGCCCATCTGGTCTCTGAACGCCATTTGGCATTCAAGGTGGTTGGTGGTAATGGACAAGTGACTTGAGACGCTCCAGCCACTTACTTTAAAGCTTCCTGTGCACTGATCCACGCAGAGATCTCCAAGCCGTGAGCGGTGTGACTTATCGAGCCTGTGCATATGTGTAGAAAAAGGGATGATCTTGAGAACTACTGTGTAAGGACTGAAATGATGTATGGTCTTGCTAGAAATGTGTTGAGTTTGAGAAGACTGCACAAAAATAAATAAGAGAGGGAAAATTCAGCGGTTCCCACCTTCCCCCTAAGAAATAAATCACAAAGTCTCTCCATGCCTCCCTCGAGACACTTATTTGCTCTGCTCTACCCCCCCAGCCACGATGAAAGGGGCTTTTCTTCCACTCAGACTGACCTTTGGCAAACATTTCCTTTTCAATTAAGATCTGAAATCTGCTCTGGCTGGAGACAGCGGGGAGAAGGCTCGCTAAAGCCATTCATGCAAGAGTCAGGACAGAGAAGAATTGCCCGAATTCATAAGGTCAGTTCCAGTCTAGACTAAGGCAGAGAGATGTCATCTAGAGCTCCCTGTATGAGAACAATATGCTTGTTTTTCTGGACTCTCTGGTCTCTCCGTGCTGCCTGCCTACTAGGTAGCACGGACATTTCTCTCCCGGACTGTTGGGCAATTACCGAGCACGAGGCTTGCTTTCCTCATGTCATTAGCAGTTCTGCAACCAGTGTGGGGCTCCCAGGAACGAGGCTTTGCCTGTGGCCTGACCTGGCTCACCAGAGTGAATGGAAAGCCTCCCACAGACAGCAGCTTTTGGCACTGGGGAGTGCCATCCCTTGTGGCAAAAATTTACAAATACTTCCTCCTCTTGGCATTCCTAGTATCAAAACCATTTAACCTAGTGCATGTGCACCGATAAAGCAATTCCCTTTCCTGTCCTATCCCTTCCTGCTGCTGTCTTCATTATAATTACATCAAGCACAAATATTCTCTGTTCACTTTCCAGGCCTCTGTTTACTTACTTTAATGCCTTGTTGATTTGCATCCTCTGCTGTGCCAGAAATTTCAGCCTCGTTTGCCTGGATATCTAGTTTACCAATGACTATCTGCATGCTTCCTTCATCAGGGAAGGGAAGACCCTTCTGATACTAGTCTTTAAAATTTGCTCCTGATCATTTTGCCAGGCATTGTTCTTTTTATTCTGTTGCCAATACTATCGTGTCCATTAATCAAGATTGTGCAGTCAGAAGAGGAAATAAAAAGACCTAATCTGTGTTTTTTTTTGTCTTTTTTTTTGTTTTGTTTTTACCCACATGTTCACGTGTATGTGACTGAACTATTTATGGTTATATAAATATATGCAATATAAATATTGCACGATCTGTTTAAACAGGGCCAAAGCATGCGAGGAAGAGGCAGTGCGAGCAGGTGCATAAAGAGCTGGACAATAATTTGGGGACCTGGCCTTGATTCCAGCTCTGCCACTGCTTTAGCATGCTTCGAAAGGTTACCTGCTTCTGCCTCAGTTTCCCCATCTTTGAAATAGGAATAATTTTGTCTGATTACAGCATGCTTTGAGACCGAGTGATAAAACGCACTACATAACAACCACACAGTGCTGTTTTTCCTGCCCAATTCTTTCTCATTATTTGTCACACCAACTGTTTTCATCTGCTTCTAAATTAGATCATCAGCATCTGAAGGAGCCGCACCTTTTCCCCAGTGTGCTGGTGGAGGCGTCTCAGGGCTCCCCGCCTCCAGGTACGGCTGCAGCACACACAATTATATTAAAAGCACCTCTCCCGGAGCTACGGACAATGCCACGAGGGGGAACGCTGAGTGTCTGCGCTACACAACGCGGATCTAAAGCAATTTCTCGTGACATTTTATAGTCTGACGGTTGCCTGAAAGAGACCCCATATGGGATGTAAATTGCATGTGTGGCTGCCATATGCTTGGGGAAGCAAGATCCATTTGTTCTTTTAGAGCAGAGAAGCCTGCTGAATTAAAACAAGAAATCAGATACACATCATGTTCGTCCCTGCTTGTGTTTGGGCTGTAGCACTCTTCATTCCTTTTCTCTTGAGCACCGCATAAAGCTGTATTTGGTGAAGCTGAGCTTCTATCGCGGGGAATCTGTGCACTATTTTTGAAGGGATGCAACAGATCCTGGTTGAGAACTGTATTTTCACTCCAAGGGAAAAAAAAAAAATATGAGCTACCCCATAAAACACACAAAGCCAAATTTAGACATAAGTCTGACTCCATGAATTTCCTGACCTCATGACTGTTCCAGTCACTTGCACGAGGACTCAATTTGTCCTGGGATGCACATTAGTACACTGGATAATTATTTGGAAGCTAAGAAAGTTCTATTTAATCTCTTCAAGGTTTTTTCCTTCTCTAATAATTTACAGAAAAGATAGATAGAATGGGTAGGGGTTGTTTCTGTTTTCTGTTTCTCTACCCTGACACCCTATAATTTTTAGGGATTCTTGTGCTTTATGTGAGACCTGTAGTGGTTTTATGGCTGAGCATAAATATGAGAAACAGCAACTGGGGAGGCACTGAAACAGCCCGACTGAAAATCTTCATTAGTGAAATGCACAAGACACCGATCTTACCTGGCCCCTGCTGTAATTCAAAAAACAAGACAATTTTTCGTTAAGCGGTTGTGTTCTGAAAGGAATGGTACAGAGGCATGGGATCTTTATGGTATCCATGATTTCCTGACAGAAATTGTAGGGTTTCGTAGTCCTGCCTCCTGTGCCATCCCCTGCGGTGGGCTGTGGGTAGAACAGGGGTTTCTGCAAGAGCTGTGCTTCATCCTGGTGTGGGTGTCCAACCCCATCTGGGGCTGGCATGTCTTCGGTGGAGCAGCTGCTTTCTCCATGCTGCATCAAGGTAAGCGTGGCCATCTCGGGGGTGATGAACCACTCTCAAGGTGTTTCAGTTCGGTCTCCTGAGGCTGAAGGCTGTTTCGGAAGCATGTGCGACTTCTTCAGGTCAAAAGTCTGCAGCACAGCTGGGAGTAGAGGTTAAGGCAAGGCAGTCTGCACACCAGTTACCTCTGTCTCTGACTCTCTCTACCATGCACCCCTCTCTTTCATCGCTTATTTTTGATAATGGGACCAAATGAACTCTTTCACTGTGAACATTTGGAATAGATGCTCACCCTCTTTCATTTGCATGCTGATCAAAGTTATAAACCATGAAATAGGCTAGCCTTATACCATCCATATTTCCACCTTCCTGCAGGGCTTTGAATATGTCTCCCGCAAAGACATTTTAGGCTGCTTACCCACCCCTAGGCAAGGGCAGAGCGCTCTTTCTTGTTCTCTAACCTACATATGGACTGCCAACAGAGAGCCTTACGCTCACTGAAGCATTTAAGAGACCAAAAGAGAAAGCAAACCAAGGCTATGAAAAAAAAAATATGTAGAAGAGAACCAGAAAAAATAAATAAAAGACATTAAATTAAAAGATAAGAAGCAACTAGAGTGGATTAAAAGAGCATTTCCCTGGGACGGTGCTGAATGGAGCTTTTGTATCATTTTTCTGCTGTGGTATAGTGCAGAGATCTCGGGCCACGTCATACGTTGTGCTCCTCCAGTCCTGTTTCTGAGGTTTGCTCAGCATTGCTGTCCAGCTCATGACTGCAACAGGAGTAGGGGAGGTTAGGAACCAGACAACCAGGCACCCCAAACTCTGGAAAGCTGAATGCTTTCAAAGTTGGTTTCATTCTGGGTCATAAAAAAAAAAAAAAAAAAAAAAAAAAAAAAAAGTGATTATGACATAATTTTTCACTGAGGGAAATACACAAATGTTAAGGACAAAATGTTTCATTTGGACTTACTTAATTAGGCTTCATTTTGCATTTATGTAAAATAGCAGTGTAATGTAAGGGCTGTAGGAAAAAGGTAAGAACAGAGCATTTCATTGTCTTCTGCAAATATTTTAACGAGAGCCATATGTACCCATAGAAAAATTCAGTTTTGTCAAACCAGCATTTTCCAGTGGAAAAAAAAAATCACTCTGGGAAAATCCTGCCTTTAAAAGTTAAGATTGGGTATTAACCAGTCACATATACGTATTTGCCTTGCTCCTCCTTCCATTTCTTTTCTGGCAGGAAGAAGGTCACCTAGTGATTAATGGAGGCTTGTGAGGACAAATAGACTTTTTTTTCCAGTGGAGATGAGCGTGAAGATTTTTCATCTTTGTCTTGTATCAGGATTTAGGCTTCAGGGACAAAGAGGAAAGCTGGTAGGAGAGTGAGCACTGTAAAACAGCCGTGCTGGGTGGTTGCTGAGCTCGCTGCTAAAAACCAAGCATGGCTGAGCTTCGTGTGTTTGGGAGACACCACCGTTTGTCATCATCCCCTTGTCAATATGTTGTGGGCTGTGTGGGACAGGCCTCGGCTGCATATACACTTGAAAGAAGCAACACTACATGCAGCAAGCACTTAAAATGTCTGATGGTTCAGGGGAGTGAGTATTCATCTGTCCCGCTGCGGGTCATCCGTCCTCTCCTCAGCGGTCTCTTTAGTGAGAGGTTAATACAGTAAAATAATGTATGTGGCTGAGCAGTTATGAAACTCTAATAACTTGCCTAGGCCAGAAAATGAGCTTGTGCACTGCTTGATAATCCAGCAATTACTAATCACCACGCTAGTTTCCTGTGGGAAGAAGCAGTGATTACAGGAAAGTCGCACCACACCGCATTAGCAGAGCATTCAGAATGCTTTTAAAAAGTAGATAATATTTTACAAATAGTTGGGGACAAGCAGATTCAAATCAAGACTTAATTTAGGGAACACCTCCTTTGATTAAAAAAATATGTTCCCGAGAACAGCTGGAGTCATTTGCCGAGATAAATCAGATGCTCCTCTCAACTTTTATGGGTTGCTAAACCCATGAAATATATGGTATGTCTCGGATTTGTTGGCTGCATTCTTGTGCTATGAACACAGATATTGGAGTTTGCTAACAAAGAAAAATGATGGACCCAGCAGGCAATGGCAAAGCCATATCTTCTTTTTTCGTTTTTACTGATTAGAGCTGAGAGGCAGAGAGAAGTCTGCTCTGGTGAGCCCTCTTGAGCCTTCTGATTTTTCCCATATTAGGCATAGGCTGAAAACAGCCTGGATCTGCTGTTGCCTCCTCTACCTCTAGGAAGAGAAGTAAAGGAAATCTCCCTGAGCTTTTCTAAGGTGGGGCAGAAGATTCACTAGCTGTCACAAAGACCTGGAAAGAATAATGGATTTTTAGGAACGCTGCCTCGAGAGAGAGTCTTAGGGAATACTAAGTCCCCCTGTATCTAGCAACTCACAGTTTATGATAAATGCTTCTTCTTTTCTGGACACTGCTAACTTATCTAAATGAAAAAAAAAAATGCTTATTTTAAAGATGATAAAAAGGCTGCGAAAACATCAAAAGATGAACTGTGTTGAATTATATTTCCTCCCTCCTCTAATAGCATGCAGGATAGAGCAACTTTGCAAAAGCAAAAATTCTTGCAAAAACTTGTGTCTGAAGACTCTTGGACAGGGAACCATGGGGATATGTTTTTTATCTTGCAATGGTGAACTTATTTTAGGTGCTGGAGATAGAGATGATCAAGGAAGAGGATGATGTAAGCAATAAATACAGCTGTAAATGAATAAATACAGGGGGCAGATCTTAATATACACAACAAATATGTAATGAGGCACCACAAAGGAATGAAGAAGTTCTTTGCTGTTTTATTTTTGCCTTTTGTAATGGAAGTCCAGAGTTCACAGAAAGCTCCACTTCCAGGCATCACCAGAAAAGATGTGGTGTAAACGATCTGCCCGCTTCACATCTTGTTTTACTTCCCTGAAGTGCTGTGACTCTGAGTGGGGTGGCTGCAAAGGTAACCAGTGGGTTGTACTGGACTGCAGCTTGTACTTCAGGGGCTGGGCTGTTTGCTGGTGAGATGCGCGAGGTTTCCTTGTAGAGATTTTTGCGTCTTCTCTTTGGGTGGTTTTGCTTGGTCTCTGTTTTTATTCATGTTATGGCAGTTCCTCTGCTAATCCATAAATTGCTTTGAAATTCTCCTAGTTGAATTATCAGCCAAAATTCAAACTGTTGCTTTTGCTGGCAGCTAGAAGGGAAATCACAACATTGCATTACAAAAAAGCCTTTAGCCTCCTATTCCCACTTTCTCCTTATTTATTTATGCTTTTTTTTGTGTTGTTTTTTTTTTTTTTTTTTTTTTTTCTTTGTATAGAAAGCAATGACAAATATCTTATTAAGTTATGAGGACAATACTTCCATTGTGAAGCCTGCAGGAGATATTTTATTCAATTTGTGATTTCAGTTCTGAACTTTCGGACTAATTCTCCTAGTCAGAAATTCCTCTTGGTCTCAGGAGGAAGGGAATTGTTCTGAAAAGACTTTCAAAAGCCATTTTAGCCAGTTGGACTATTATGCATGTTTAGGGAATTAAAAATAATAATAATAATAAATAAATAAAAGAGGGTTCTTCCTTTTTCTTTTCTTTTCTTTTCTTTTTTTTTTCTTTTTTTTTTTTTTTTTTTAACTTTTTCTGTTTTGTTTCAGCATCGACAACTATGTAACCTTTTGCCACAAGGAAACGTGCAATTTCCTAGTAACCGATGCAATGGAAAGTACCCCAGGTGAGCTATAACACTCTTGCAGGGACAATATGTCTTTCTCCACTTCTGTGCCAAACACGAAAAACTCCCTCATGAAAGTAATGACATTTTGAAAACAAGTAATATTGCTTAAGCCAGTCATGATTTGTATTAGAGAAGGTATTAAATGTATGGATTATGTTTAAAATAAATAAATAAATAAAATCACCCATTTCCAGAAGTGAGCTCTTGTGGAGGCCAAGAAATTGGCTGAATTGGCCAAGAACTTTCCTTTCCTACAGAAAGGAAAGAGCCGAATGGAGATAGGAAAGGAAAGAGCCTAATGAAGATAAATCCACCCATACATATTTATACCAGTTCTTTCTCTCACCCACTCGACCTTGCTTTCACAAACCAAAACGCAAGGGTATTTTTGCACCATTCTTTACATATTGCACCTTGACTTACGCTGATGTCTAAGAAAATCAAGCAGTTCGGAAGGTCAGAGAAGTAGCATTATTTTTTTTTTCACTGAAAGGAACAAACTTAAGAAACACTATAAAAATCCATACTAACAAAAGCAGAGAGCACTAACAATAGGCTGCATTCTCTAAATAAAGATTAAGGGGTGCGTTTGGAGGCATGCGTAGGAGGGAAGAAGAAGAGCGTCTTGTAACCCAGATCATTTCTGCCTAGTGATCATTACAGAAGAGAGATATTTTTTTTTGTGAAATCTCAGAAACCAGGAAAGGAGAGAGCTCCGTACCCTTCCCAGAGCTCCCCCTTCTCGGCTGGAAAGAAAGCAACGCTTGACGTGTTTCTGAGGATGAGCTGTGTGCAGTTGTTCTCATGCTCCAGCACCACGAAGGCCGGAGCAGATGGCAGGCGCGTGGGTGGGGAGCGGATTGCTGAGATTCCAGCAGGAACAAAAGCAGAGTCGCTGCTTACTGCGAGAGCTGCAAATGCGCACGGGCACGGCTTTGCGCATTTTTAGCCACCTTTGGCTGCACCAGCATATGGGACACGGAGCGTACTGGAGGGGTGTCAGCTAGTGGGAGGAATGTGGTGGGACAGTAATACTCCGGGATGATTAATCGGAGCACGGTGAGAGTTGCTGTTTATATCTAGTTATTCTTCTCCCCTGTGTCATGAATCATCTGATACACCCGAAACCGAGAACAGATTGCAGCGGAGTATGAACTGCTCGTGGCTGGGTACTGCCAAGGTAGGAGAGTTGGAAGAGCAGGCAAAGTGTGTCACTGATCCTCTCTGGCTGGCTCATTCAGGTTGTTGGAATTTGGGAAGGGGAGGCAGGAGGCTGGTGCGTCTCCAAGTCGTGACTCAGCCCTGGGTCTGGAAGTACGCAGAAGGCACAGACAGATGCAGGGGCTGTGAAATACCCCTAGGTCCCACAGCAAAGACACGGATCTGAAACTTAAGTTAGTAAATGAACAGATGAACCAGTAATTCAGGTGTTTGTTTGTTGTTTTTTTTTGAAAGATTTCATCAGCATTTCCAGTAGTCAACTTTTTCCACCAGCACCTTCACCAAGTAGCAGAAAGCAGCTTGGCACACTGTACAGAGCTTGATGGAGAAAGATGCGTTTGGGGAAAAAGTGTGGCCTTCATCCAGTCTAGAAGAGGGAGAGAAATTCATGTCACTGTTCATCCTTACATCCCTGTTGTCATGAAGTTTGTGCATGAGCACAAATCATAGACTTCAGAAAGAGAGAGGGAGGAGCTGTGTCAGAGGTAATGCTCTGCTGAGACAACTTGTAAGGAGAAAGGATGAAGGACCAAGGACCATATGCAGAATATTATTTCAGGAATGTCAAAAGCACCAGGGTCACTTACAATAAAATAAAATAATAATAATAAAAAAAAAATCCCTCATCTCCTCTTAATACTCATACCTAGTTTATGTAACTTGTCCTACTAACTCTTCTTTTTACCTTCCCAACATAACCTCCTACCAGAGGGACCATCATGTGTTAATTTGATTCATAAGGTTTCTGGGGCAGGGAATGCATTCTGCTCTACTTGCAGTGCGTGCACCTGGCATTTCCTAACTTTCAAGTGCTTGACTGTGCAACCTAAATAAACATGGCTTTTGTTTAGTGTTATTTGTAATGTATTTGTATGGCCATATTATGTTCATATTAATAATGTATTGTTAAATATTGGAAGACAGTAATTTGAAATGTAAGATGAAGTGAGAGGCGGATATGAAAAAATATAATGCAATAAAGTCTAGAGAAATGCAATATGAAGATGACTGAATTAGGTGTTATGTGGGTAGCTGTAAATACAACACATTTAATTTTTAAGGATCTGACTTTGCAACTTCAATCTTGTTTCTTAAAATGAAGCTTTTTACTTTTTTTTTTTTTAATGTAATTACCCATTTTTGTTTCCATATGGTAGAAAGTTGCAACAAATTATAGGTAACTATAGCACGCTGCTGCCATTGTAAGAAAGATCTGAACCACGGGCATAGACTTACAGGGCAGGGCTCAACTCCAGGCCTAGACCCCTAGGTTTAGGTGTTGCTAGAAGAGCTGTTGACATGTGAGCCACTTAACTATCCCCCCGTTTTAGTCAACGGGGTGTAGAGGGCTACCCTAAAATGGGCACATCTGGTGCATTCACAGCTCTCCAGGTTCCACTGATGGATGTGAATTGGATTTCCACTGACTCCAGTAGGAGCTGAGATACTTACTCCACCTGCTCCACAACTCCACAACTATGTTTGAATCTACTCTCTACATGCAGACATCTTCTGCAGCATTAAATGCTTTAGGGAATCCTGTTTACTCTCCTGTTGACTCTCTAGAAGACTGTGGGTCTCCTGTTTTTCTGTCAGTCCCATAGAAATACTCAGGAGAGAGAACTTCTGAAATAGCTGAAGACAGTTATATTTGGACAACCGAACTGAGCCCCTAGTGTCCGCTCCGGCTTGGGGAATGGACATAGCACTGCCTTGCTCAGCCTTCTCCTTGCCTAAATTCTGTGGAGGTTTGGGCCTCCACAGTAAGCGGTGGAAATGAGGAGATAAAGGAAGGAGTTGTCCCCAGCTCCCCAAGCAGGACTGTGTACTGGGCCTGGAAAAATGTATGCTATTACCAGGAGAGGGAAGGAACCAGGCAGCTTCTCTTCTCATCCCTCATGGCTTCAGCAGAGCTACGGGGGCATCCTGAGAGGGGTGTGAGGCGAGTGGTTTTGCTAGAGTCACAGCTCATCCTGAGAAAGCCGATGCTGGCAAGGAAGCAAGTTTTTTTCCAAAGATAAAAACTAAAGGTAGTTGTTTGTTTGCTTGTTTCATGATGTATTTTCTTTTTTTTTCACAATTAATTAGCCAAAACCCATCAAGAATTCCACTTTTCTAGCCAAAAGGCTTTGCTGCTGAAAATCCAGCTCCCCAAAAGACTGAATATATGAAATTTACTCACAAGACATCACAATGGTCTTTTGTAATGGAAAGCATTAAGCAAGGTAAACTGACAGGGCCCTTCTCTGCTCCTCCTGAAATAATCAGTAGGTGGCATAGGCTTTTAAGAGAGGATAATGAAGATAGAGGTGCTCATCACAGTTAAAATGCCATTTAAATGGGCGCCTGACAAGTAAATCATCTTGGAATTTGCAGGTACCATTGTGCCAAGTCCCTGCGTTGGCTTGTGTGATGGTCACCAAGGCTGGAATGCAAAATCAGCTTCTCCGACTGAAACCGCAACCCTTTGAACTATTTTTGGAAGGCATTAATGAGATTTTGCTTTGGGATTATCTGTACAAAATGGAAAAAGGATGATAGATGGGACTGTGGCTCTCTAGCAAATATATAACCACAGCTACATTAAAGAAAGAACTAAAAAAAAAAAAAAAAAAAAGGATAAAAATTAAGTGGGGCACCACATGACTTGATACAAACCTGGTCCTATAATGAATTAGACATGTACCAGTGTTGTGTACAGACTGCCCTGTCATGCTGCAGGTGGGCTTTCTACAACACTGCCCAGTCTGATATTTTATCGTGTGTCTTCCCATCTGAGGAAGACTCTCCACTGTGTGCCCAAATGTGCACTATTGGCAGGTGGTCATTTCTATGGCTGTGTCATCCAGAAACATATCCTGATGCACAGGCATGCCTGAATCCTGTTTTTACTGCAGATGACACACTCACCTAGTTATGTTCAAGCCCAGAGATGTGGCTTAAGTGAGATGCCATCTTCTCTCTGTACATGGCATACTCTGCCACTCCTCACCACAGGGGCTGAATACCGCTGCTACTTGTTCAGCACAGGGATGGTAGCACAAAGGTTTCAGTTCCTACTGGAGTACTAGGATTTTATCCTAGCTTCCTGCAGTCATAAATACATTTTCTTAGGCTACTTCCAAACCATTTGTGCTACAAATGACAGACTTTTGTCCCCTTGTTGCTGGGCATTTGTACAGGCAGGCAGAAGCAAGGTTCTGGAGCTGGAACAGACTCGTGGTTCTGCTGCAGCAGTGGCAGAGCAGCCTGGTTTTTCAGCATGCCAGGCACAAATAGCTTTATTTTTCTTCATTTCTAGTGTCTACATCCTCTGGGCTGGAAAACTATTCAGAGGCAGCTTGGAGGTGTGCTGAACAGCATGCCACTGGTAGGAATGACCCATTAATCTGCCTCTGCATGATGCTGAACCCAAGCTGAGGCTGGGGACAAGTAGTGAATGAGCCTACTCAGGCTCTGATATGAGGATAGACACCTGTGCTTGCACTGTCTGATCCTGGGAGCTTGTTCTCCGGGCCCAGTCAATGTCCAAATGCTCTAGTTCAGACTTTTATATAGTCTCATCTGATATCAGCTTTCCTAATGGATATTTTTCTGTTTCATATCCTGAAACACTAGTCACTACACATTTCTGCCGCCTGCGCTGTAATTAATCTGTGTCTGACTCCTTAGGAACCCTCTGGGAAAGTCCCTGATGTTCTCTTCATTTCTATTTTTCAGCTGCCAAGATGCAAACTTCAGAAGCTGAGACCACATTATAGTGGAGCAACTTGTTACAGTGCCTGTTAGCAAAAGACTGCTGAGACCCCTGAAGAAAGATTATTGGAGTGCTGTAAGAAATTCAATAATCTTAGTCAAAAAATATGTGTGGGTTAAAAATCCACAGTTCTTTGTTTACAGATTGAGTTTTGGGCAGAGCACAGAGCTGCCCATAGTGTGCTATTAAAATACAGTTATGCAGAATATTATATACTAGTAGAAAGCCATAACAGTGATAGCAGAAGAGCTGTGGTATGGAACCAAATCAAACCATGTATTTTGTAACAGCTTAAATGCATCCTGGCTCTAACTGATTACTAAATTACTGCTCTAGCTGCAGCATGGACATGCTGGGAATATACAAAGAGTCTTTCTGACTGGTACTCAAATTCTTTCCTCTGTGGAATGACAATTCCCCATTTTTCAGTTGCCATTACTCTTTTCTCTCTGTTCAGATGTGCTTAATTTTTCAGATACATTTAAGTATTTGTGTTGCTGTAGCACAGTTCATATCCCAAGACTCAACACAGTAACAGTGATACCAAGAAAAAGAAAACAAGATGTCAATGAAAACACCTTTTTCCGAACGGGTTATCTCTTCCTCTCCCAGTGGAAAACCATTCTGCTTGACTTTATCCTCCAGGCAAAAAGCAAGCTTTGCTTTCTCAAAAGGCATTGTTTCTTTTCTGTAGCTTTCTCTGTTTGGCCCCTATCCTTTACAAGGATTTCTCACAGGAGCACAAAGCCAGGCTGTCTGCCGTCACTTTTCTATGTTTATACTCATCAGCTGCCACCATTCATCCAACATGAAGGTCTCACCCCACCCATCCCACCATCATGTGTGCACACAGTATTATCCTAGTGGGTTTTCCCCATTTTTGTGCTCCTGTTCATAGTTGCTTCAATTAGTTTCTAAGCTTCATCTCTCCTCCTGTGTAGGGTTGTCCCTTTCTGCTGCTGACTCCTGTTTCCTATGTGACGACATGTCCTGTAGCCAGAAGCAAGCCCAGCCAACATGGTGAGATGTATCTCTCAGTACACCAAGATTTGCCCTGACTTTTTGGTCCCCTGTGTCCTGTGCTTTTCCTCTCCAGGCTTACAGCTGCAGGCAAAGATCAACTTAGGCAAACCAGAGGTACAGCTTCAAGGGGGTATTTACCCACCATTATTTATCAAAATAGTAACTTTCAACAGCTTCCTTTGTTTGTTGCTCAGGCCCCCACTGCTCTGAGGGGAAGAGGAAGATGAAACAGGCTCACTGCATCTTGTTTCTTGGTGACATTTCTGGCTTGTCAAAATCCAAGATCTTCCTGGCACCATGCTGGCTGAGAGTCTGTCTCTTCTTGATGTTAACAAAGACTTGTTAACCTGGGGATGTCAGGCAAGGACTATTGCAGGCTAAATGCTGAGCTTTTCTATTACCACTGTCCTTCACGAGGCAAGCAGGTCTATCAGTTAAACTGGCATACTCTATCACTGTCGCTGTGGTGGTTTTACTCTGCTGGGCAGCTGAGCTCCACCACAACCACTCTCTCACTTCCCCTCCTCAAGGGCAAACGGGGAGAAAATTTGATAAAAAGAGCTTAACAGTTGAGATAAGGACAGGGAGGTCACTCAACAATTATCGTCATGGGTTAAACAGTCTTGGTGTAGAGAAACTAATGTTATTTATTGCCTATTACTAACAGACTAGACCAGTAAGAAACTAAAAGCAAAATAAAGACACCTTCCCCCCACCCATCCTCTTCCACCTCCTCCCCTGAAGCAGAGCAGGGGAATGGGCAATGGTGGCTGTGGTCAGTCCATAGCATTTTGTCCCCGCTGCTCCCTCAGGGTCCCTCCCTGCCCCTGCTCCCCGTGGGGTCCCTCCCACGGGATGCCATCCTTCCCCAGCTGAGCCTGCGGGGGCTGCCCACAGGCAGCAGCTCCTCAAGCTTCATCCCCCAGGAGCAAACTGCCCACGGGCGGCAGCTCGGGCCCGGGGCCTGCTCCTGCGGGGGCTCTCCATGGGCCGCAGCCTCCTCCAGGCCACATCCACCTGCTCCACGGGGGCTCCTCCACCCATGGGGGGGCTGCAGCGTGGAGATCTGCTCCATGTGGGACCCATGGGCTGCAGGGGGACAGCCTGCTCCACCAGGGGCCTCTCCCTGCACAGGCCGCAGGGGAACTGTTGCTGCCTGCTTGGTGCACCTCCTGCCCTGCTGGCTCTGCTCTGACACGGGGCAGCTGCTGGGCTCTGCTCACAGAGGCCACCCCACTACCAAACCCTTGCCGTATAAACCTAATACATCTGCCCTGTTTCCTTACTGGGGAGAAGCGTTTCCTTGTGTGCCATGGTTGGGGTGCCTGAGAGCACCTTGCTGTGATGGAGGAAGGGAGCTGTCAGTATGCAAACAAGATCCAAAAGCAGGTATTTTGGAATTTCCAGAACAAAAAGTATTTTAGATATGCTCTCTCCTCCCCCTCTGCTCCTGCCTTTTTTTTTTCCTTTGAGCACAAGTTGAGACAAGGTCAGAGTGATGCCCATTTACCTTGGCCTCCTCTCCAGGGACTAGGCCAGAACTAGCTGATGACTCTGCATTGCTTCATAACATGCTACATTTGTGTTTTCTTCTTGCTGTTCCCCTGGAAAAAGATGCTGCCTGAGGCAACAAAAGCTGTACAGCATCCTGAATCATGCCTCACATGACACAGGGTGATCTCAAGGGCAGCAGTTAGGTTCAGCGACAGTCTGAAAAGTCTCCTGTCCCATGTAAACACATGGCTCCCCTTTTTCCGAGGTTCATTTGGAGCAGCTGTGTGATTTGTGTAGCACAGACTGGTCACCGAGTATTTTAGGCTTTATCCTGTACTCCCTGAACAGAGTTACTGGTAGTGCATAGTCTTGAAAATTTGTGAAATTATGGGCATTTCTTGAACGAGTCCCTGTAGAGTCACCAAAATACCTAGAGAAGACAAATATCCAGTGGAGAAACTTATTATAACCTTTTGTTGTCTGAACATTGATCCAAACTGCTCATAAAGACAAGCGGCTGAGCACACAGCTCACATCCATTTCCTTAAATCCTCACTATAGCTTTTGGAGTGTGATTTTGTTTTTATTTTTTTATCTGGCCACAAATATTGGCACACCCTGTTCTCCCTGACCACTGTAGATATGGGGAAGGAGGTCCTTTTAAATTTTCCACCAAGGAAGAGTTGTTCTTCTCCAGGGCATGAAAACCACCCTGTGTATATCAGAGAGAAGAGGCATATTGGTGACAATAATCTACTTACTGAGCAAACATGGTGTATTTGCTGGTGGTCCCCACAGCACAGGCACTGCTTTTTCTTAGTGTTCCTGAGGGCAGAGGTCAGCACGAAATGGGTGAAGTGCTGCTATCTGCCCATTTCCACCACTGCCCACACATGCACACACAGCCGGACACCATGTCATGAGCTGGTGAAGGCAACTGGAGACCGAGCAGCATCCATTCAGGTGTACCAGCACGGACTCGTATCTGGTGTTCCTCTTAGATGACATAGAAACTCTTTGTCTGAGCCATGCCTGTGGAGTTCAGAAAAACCCTCAACGATTTTCAGTTATAAACCATTAAAAAACAGAATTTATTTTCTTTACTCTAAAATCTGAAAATGTATGAACAACTTAGCACGAGATCTGAAGACAGACATGAAATGAGCTTTGAAACTAAGATTTGGGACAGGTTAATCATAAGCCCAACCTGTTCCCAGGTGGGCAGAACCTCCAGGTGGGTAGAATATAGCAACTGGTGGGAAAACAATATCATGCAATGCTAAGAAAGGATGGGAGGCAACAACGAAGAAAGAAGTTGCATTAGTGGTTGTAAAAGAGAGTGCAAATATTTCTTAGGTTTATAGAAAAGGCGACAGAACCTGTGGACAGCTGAGATACAAAATATGGGGGTTAGTTTGCTGGAAATTATTATTTTTTTCATGTGATGAGCTGAGACCCCAGACAACATGACCTTAGGAATCACAGGCATCAAGAAAGTCTCATATTTCTTCAGCAACCAGTTTCAAGGCTTACATACCTTTTGCCATTAACACATTCTTCTGCAGACTGAAAGAAATAGGTGTGGTTTCTGTATAGACTATGAACCAAAACCTAACAATAGCCTTTGGAATCAAATAATTCTGATTTTTTGATAATTAGATTAAATACCATTTAGTACCTGCATTTAGTTACATTAACTTCCAGTGGAATGCATGAACAGTAATTAACAGTCATCATAAAAGCCAAGAGTGTATAAATATTATCCCTATTTTATAAATGTGAGAAAAAGGGGAGGGTGACTAAGTGAAATTCCCAAGGCTACTGAGAGGCTAGGAGGAGAGACAAGATAAGAAAGTGGATGTTTGTGGACCTGATCCTCCACTGGTCAGCAAACTGGGTTGTTACAACGCTGAGAAGTGAGCAGGGACTATCAACAGTGGAGAAGAAGGAAGCATTACGCATACTGCTGCCCACTTTAAGTGGCTGCACAAGTTGGCAATGAAAAACCAGGTTCTCTGTCTCCCTGTCCCAAGTTCAGATAATAACATCCCCGAACATCCCCTTTCTGCAAAGGAAGTACGGTTCAGTTACCAGAAACTCGGGACAGACTGGGAGTAATACACTCTCAGTTAAAACTGGGGGGAAAATAGTCTATGTTAAATATTAATACTGAGAAATGATTTAACTATTATGCAACAGCAAAACACATCATGGAAAGACTGTATACACACGGGTGAGTTTCTGCACGTAAAGTAAAATCCATGCCTCACTGAGGTCAGTAGGATCCAGATTTTACCTGCCTGGCTTTACTGAATTTAGTAATTTGTCTGCAGGATCTTGGCTTGAAGACTGTGGAGGGCACCATATGGCTGCTGACCACCCTCATTGAACACCAGGGACAAAGAAAAGGATGGAGGACTGTCATTTGCTAGGGTAGGTTGGTAATAATGAAATACTTCCACCACCCTGCAAAGATGTGACATGAGCGATTCGCCAAATATCCCTGCTAATCCACACGTTTCTCCTTCAACACCATTCTCCAAACTGCTATGACAATATTTATGCTTTGCCAGAATCGCTTCCCTACAAATAAAAAAATAGTTACACAAAGCAGAGAGCACAGCAGCTAGGTGCAACTGAGAGCTCCTCCTCTTCACATGCCTCCCCCCCCCAAAAAAAAATAAAAATTTGTTTGCAGGAGCTGGCAGCAGAGCATCTCTGGCAGCATTTTGCTCTCACGTGAGCACTGCTGCGGCTCCAACCACAAAGCCGAGAGCTGCGTGTACAGACCCCGGAAATAATTCGTCTCTCTAATTTTACAGCCACACTAAATTACTACGGGTGCAATTCTGCAGGGCACCGAAATTGATCTCAGCAGTGAAACTGCACCCGCGGATTCTGCCTGAGTGACCCTGTTTAAATTGGAGCACTGCGGAAAAGACAAACTATCGGGATTGCTTTTATTGCAGCCTCTACTACAGATATTTTCCAGTCGGGTGTGTTGATAGGAGGGAGAAGAATAATCAGCCTTGACTGTCTTAGCTGTGTCAGCAGAAGCCTCTGGTGCTCAGCCGGCTGTATTGGCAAGAATTCGTGTTTGCTGGGATAGTTTGGTTTGCTCATAAAATACAGCTTTGCTTTCTTTAGCAGTGCAAAGAAACCAGGATCCAACCTTGGTGCTTGCACTCAATCTCTACTGAGGAGCAATGTTTTTCAAACTTTCATGTGCTGCAGGCTGGGACTTTTCTGGTGCCCACACGTGTGGGTGAGGTGCAGCACACCTCTGTGACCTGTTCTGGTAGACACCTAAAGACATGAAGAACCTCCCTGCTGACCCTGAAACCCCTGGCTGGAAGGTGAGAGTCACCCAGCCAGGAGCAGAAGCAAGAGGAAAATGGCTTCAGCTGGCCTTCAGGAAGAAGCAGGTGATGTCTTTCCCCAAAACACCCGATACTTCTTGGTGATCATTTATGCTATTGCTGACATACTGCGAGGAGCAGAACCTCCTGCTGCTTCCCAGATGAGACTCAGATCTCTCTTGCTAGCTTTCCTGAGCCCCTTCACTGATTGCAGTCCCCTGTTGATGGGCCAGAAGGTGCCTCATTCTCCCTCTCTGACTGCCCTCCATGTAAGGCTGGCATGCGCTCATATCAGACAAAAACTGATCTTCTCAGGCTGAGGAAAGGTTGGAGACAAGGCTGCTCACACTCAAGGCACATTTTCCACCCACTAGTCATATTACACGGAGAGCTGGCAGGGAGAGGCAGAAGAAAAGACCCACTTTTCTGTAAAAAGCTGCTGATCCTCCACAGAAAAGCAGTACCTCTGGTGGAATGAGTCATCCAGCATTTCCTACTCGTTTCTTAAATAATCAATGGTGAGGGATGCTCAGTCTAAGATGCTGAATTAGTATCTGGAAGTTTCTAGGGTGTCCTTTTTCCCTCTTTTAACTGTGCAGAGGATTTGCTTTAGGGGGGCTGGACTAAACATTTCTATACTATGGAGAAGAAGCCTAAAACGTAGGCATGTGATGATCTAAATAGGGTGCTTGCTTGTGTTTGCACAGCACTGAATCAGTTCACGCACCACAGCAGTACACCTGCAGTGCTCCAGCCCCTGACTGGAGCTCAGTTCGTGGGGCAAGACTTGAAGCAGACCGAAGTAAACCCCCTGAAATTAGTGTAGTAAGCTTGACAGGTCTTTAGCATCAGAGGACCACCTCTCGGCCTCCAAAATCTGCCCCTGCTGCTCCTCCTGACTGGCACAGCCCAGGTCAGTAGTGCTGTGTCTGTGCTGTGCAGGGAGCCACATGTGGTGGCATTTTTCAGGCCGGGAGTGCAGCATGCTCCCTTCCCTCGTGTCCCATCCTACTGCTGTTGCTCCTCATCTTTTACCACTGTTCTCCTGCTCTGTCTTCTCTCTTGCACCCACTCAGCAAGCTGCTTATCTTCCAGGGATAGCTTTGCTCTGCAGGTCAGAGCAGCTGCTAGAAACAGCTTGACTTCTTCTTAGCGCTTGAGGAGTTCCCTCCCTCCCTCGCTCCCAGGCCTGACTGCTATTGATTTAAAGGCGTTTATAACATATCTGCGCCTCCAGTCTAATGACACAAACTAGATTTCAAGGGTACTGAACTAACAGAGTATCTTAGCAACAAATATTTATTTTAATAACAGCATTTCTAGCCATGTTAAACAAACACCTACTGCAATAGTCTGAATGCCCCAGAGCGCTTTATCCCGTCCCACGACCCATTTTCTGTTGGCTCATCCTCACTAAAAAGAGTTGCTAAAGTCAATGCCGTTGTCCCGGAGAGGTCATCTTCAGCACCCTCTCGACTTGTTAGACTGGTATCAGAGAAGAAGCAGACCACCATGCTCCTGGTAGCTCCCCAGACAGACTTGCTGTAGGGGTTTTCCTCTGACCACCTCCCAGATATTTCTGGTGGTTGTTTACAGTGACCTGCTCTGAGCAGGGGTGTTGAACTGCTTTTGCACTGTCTGCTTACCACACATCCAGAGGCTGCAATGCTCCAGTTGCTTCCCTGGCAATGACAGACAAGCTGATGCCTGCTGTCTTCAGATGCCTTGATCGCCATCCTCTCCCTAAAGCTGTCAGGAAGCAACCTCCCTGCTAACTCCTTGCTCAGGCTCATTCATGCTGCTCACCCCATTCACTGCGAGGTTCTCCATCCATTTCCCTTGACGCATATTAGAGTTTGGAGAGGACTTTTGTTTAAAAAAATTCATCTAAAAATTAGATGGAGTGGAAACATTCAGACACCAGGAGTAATTGCCAGCATAACTACGTCTCTTTGCTGCTTTAATGCCATTGCACATTTTGCTGTTACCTTTGTCTCTCCCCTGCTAGCTGAACTGTGAGATTTCCTGTGTCATCAAACCACAATTTGTATGATCATTGTTATAAATATGTGAAAGAAAATAATGGTTTGTCTTATAGAATAAAACAACACAGTTTGATATTATCCTAGCGTATCTTCAGAGTCCTCGGGCTGCACACTGTTGTTCTCTGATGGGTTGAAAGCTCTTTCTTTTGACAAATCCCACTAGTACCTGCTTTTGAACTCTCCTACTGAGATATTTTAGTAAGGGAAATATCCAGGGACTATTTTCTCAGCACATCTCCACAAGGGATAAATCCAGCCTTTCTTATCTTCAGCACTTGTTGGAATTCAGCTTTGTTTTGGAAAGGGAATGGTACAGTCATCTCAAGGGTGCAGCCTCTCCTGTGTGGTGTTTTCATGGGGATCATTCAGCCCTGCATCCTCCACCCCTCTCTAAGGAAAATCCAGCAGGACAGAGATTTTCCTTTATTGTCTCTCATTAATTTGTGTGTCACCAGCTGTGAAACGAGCAGAGCCTGAGAAACTGCCCTTGGGAATCAGCATGGTCCAGACCGGGCCAGCAGCACTTGCTTAGCTCCCACTGAATAGCTGTTTTGCCAGGCTGACTTCAGTCCAATATTTTTCTCTCTTCCTCCCACCACCCTCCTTTCCTGGTACAAATAAGTGTTTGTGTACAACCCAGGGAAAAACACCTCCTAGAGTTTTATAAAAATAAACGTCAGCCTGCCACTGAGCTAGTCAGGAATTTCTTACAAGGTGGAAAGCTGTACAAAAGCTGCCATCGTGCATTATCCTCCTGTGTCAGGGGGATAGATCTGTTGTCCTACAAAGCACGTGCATGGGCAGGAGAATTAGCAACAGCACCCAGCATCCTGAAACAGCCACAAGTCTTGAAGAAGTGTTATGGCAAGAGTTATGGTTTGCACTGGGGCAGCTGCACTTACCCTGTGTTGAAGGAAGGATATCACTCACCTCTGTCATCCTTGCTTGTTCTTAGCTCAAATCAAGCACGTGGTGTGACCTCTGCATCTCCCTTTGCAAGTCAGAGGAGGGGTTTGGGTGGGATGCTTGCTAGGCTTGGTCTGAAAGCAAACAGTTCTTCCTCCCATTCTCTCAGCACAACTTCATTGTTGACAAGGACAGAGTGAAAGTGACATCCTGGCCATTTGATTTGTTTGCTTGTTGTGTTCATTTGTTAGGGAAGCACTTTGAAGCTATTAATCTATTATCTCATTCCTACCTGAGAACACAATTTCATTACTGCATTTTTGCATTTTACAAGTTTTGTAAATAAACTGAGTGGCATCCTTGCTTCAAGTTACGTGTGCTCTATTCTTCATTTTGATGAATTCTATAAAAAAGTTAACCAAGATTGTTTACTCTTTTAGGCCAGCCCAAGGGCTGCTTGCCTACTATGGCAAAGGCAAGGCTAGCTATGTGATTCTTCTTATATATATATATATAGATATATATACACTATATATACGTATATATATATACATACTATATATACAGCTGTATTCGGTGTCCAGCAGCATCACTCACTCCCCCGGGATTCATAAAGCACCCTACTCATAAAGCACATCTAGCTAAATGTATCATAGTCTCCCCCCCCCCCCCCTTTTTTTTATGAGACTGTCTTTTTTTTTTTTTTTTTGCATTTGCATTAACCATATTTTGTCAGTGTCTTTCTAAGCCTGCAAAAGCCCCAAAATACACTACAGTCTTTCTAGGTGAAGCACTTCTTCCTGCCAGAGTAACTGTGCATATGTAGACACATACACATATATCCATATAAACTAGGGCAACCTGAATTCATAAAAGCAGGCAAGCTGTTGGTGTTTTTGTCTGTTTTTAGCACTGCTGCATAGCTGAAGCAGGAGAAATTGATGGGGACTATCCATTTAGCTCCTGCTCTCCAAACACAAAGCTGTTTTCACCATTGCTGAGATGCTCATCCAGTCTCTGACTATAAAGTTATCTGACATCAGCTGTAGGAAATGCCTCTTGGGATAAATCTGATTTTTGGAGCTCTTAAAAAATAACATGTTAACATGTGAAGTTCTGAGTGCTAGTTTGTAACCTGACCTCAATTTAGGTTTATTTACAGCTAGAGCAGCAATGCATTGCAAAGCACTGGTCAGATTGTACTTAGGAAATGAAAGATCTGGCCTTTAAAATGTGATTTCCTTGTTTACTGAAAGTACAGCCACCTCTTCTTCCTCCCTCCTGTGCAGGCCTACCTTCCCCCTCGAGGCTTTGCAGCACTGTCACCTTCAGTTTAGCCCAGGAGAACAAAGCATAGATTTCCCTGGGGACCATCAGTATTTTTCCACCATAGATGCTGACGGTGGGTGATCAGTTTGGCAAGCAGTTAAGTATGTAGCTGGAACATAGCTGAGAAAATGATGGGAAAAGGTAGCCTCAAATATTTGTGCCTAATCAGATAATCCATCTCAGCCAGGCTTGCATTCCTCTCCTTTGTTTTTTCAGCAAACATTTGAATTGCACTGTTTGTTTGCAGGCATGTTTGGAGAGGAATTGTAGTTCATCAATGCCTGTACACAGATAAACACACGCGGAAGGATTTAGTATCACCCAGGCTTAACCTTCACCGTGTGGGCCCGTGAGGTGAGCAGTTCTTCCGTTTGGGAGCACATGAGGAAGCATGGGGTGACCAGGAACACTACAACCAAACTACCCAAACTACTCACCACTGGCAACAGTGAGGAAGAGAAGTAATCCTTGAGGTATGGTGATGTCCTTGACATGTTTGTGGTCCAGCCTCGAATCATGCAAGGTGTAAGAGCAGCAGCTGGGCAGAGGGAGTTTCATAACAGACTGTGGCTAAGGACAAACTCTGTCTGCACAGCCATGCTCTTGCTCTGACCTTCAAGATAACTGAAATGGGCTTGTCTGGGCAGAAGAATGAGAAACTGATAACTATTTAGTACATGGTTGAAAATCTGACTGCTCACTTGAATGGAAAGGACAGCCACCAGCTCTGCTGTCCAGGGGCAACTGTGGAAAGAGAACTGGGAATCTTGGCTCGATTTTTGCTGGAGCTGAATTCAAGCTGAAAACTAAGGCATTGTTCAGAAACCCTGCAATCCTTGTTGCCCTCTTTGCTATATTGAATCAAGCTCCTCTGTCTCCCCGGAACTCAGTTTTTCTTTTAACTGAGACATTTTATCTGAAGATGAAATCTCCGTTTTAGGGGCAGGCAATAAATTAATAAAAAGGTTTGGTATAAATCGTCACTTATGTTTTGGAATAGTTGTGCAATCAATTTGGCCCGTAAAGCTTAGCTAATATTTCTAATGCAATGTTCTGCCATGAGATTTAATTTACCCTGCACAAACCATTCGGTAATCTAAGCACAGATGTAGAAACAACTAATACCTATTAAACCACGATGTCCAGATCCAATGGGGTGGATTTCTCCATAGCTAGATATTATGTCAACACTATACAGATAATTTTAGATAGCTAGCCTCAGCTCTAAACTCAATTTAATTATGTTTGCTGTTCTTTTATTGCATTTGTTTTCCATTGAGCCATGTGCATCGTGAGCTCTCACATGGGTTTTCCAGTTACAAACAACTAATTTTCACTAAGTGGTTTTCTTAGTCATTTTTCAGTTATTAACTGGACTTAGTGCCACACCAAGGACTGGCCCTGTTTTCCATCAATTTGTACTGAGTAGTCATCACCCCAAGAGCTTATGACTGATGCATAAAAAAGGATACCATGGAGATCACTAAAATCATAGCAGAATGTAGTCAAAATAATTGTATATTCAGTTATTTTAATTAAATTGCCCATGATACTCCCAACAAACCTCCAAATAGTGTCCCATGGTTGTGTGTATTAGAAATGATACTGCACTTTCCATAAGTTCATGGTAACCAGCAGTACTTTGGGCAGTTTTATCTCTCAGGTGATCTTATTTTTCTCCTCAGCAGTGGTCATGGTGGACCTGACTTAACTGTAAAAACTGGCTTGAGCTGAAAGTAACCTGCCATTTAAAAGAAAAAAGGAAAAAAAAAAAGTCAAAAAGCAATGGGAAAACACCCACTGGTTAAAGAGAAGGATATAAATGGAACTGAAAAGCAAAAGCAAGGAGGGGAAGCGCTCAGTCAAGATCTGACACCTTCTGTACCTGATCTGAGGGTTTTTTTCACAGTCTTTCTCCAGATAGGGAAAAGTGATATATATGCTTCTTGCTCTGTCCCCTGTGCATTGCCCAGGGAGATAAGATTCTTCAGTAAAAAATGAAATGCAAGGCTGTATGCTTTCACATCTAAGCCTCATTATTTAAATGTAAATTCGTCTCACGTTTGGGAAAAATAGCATGTAGTATTTCATCTAGAGACTTTTTATTTCTGTATTTTTAATTACCATTAAGAATGAACAACTGTACTTGTGGAAGCAAGGAAGGAACACCAGTGTTGCAGAGTCAGCTTCTGGATGCATGCAGGTTCCAGAAGAAGCCATTAACATTTCCCTTCTTTGTTTTACTCTGCCTAACTAGATGAAATTCCCAAATGCTTGCATAAGCCCTGGCACTATATAGCCCCCAAATTGCCTAGTCATCTACCTTCCAGATTTAATTTCTCTCTGCCCTCCCCCTGTTGCGCTTTAGAAGGAAACAGGGCTAAATAAGTTCTTTTTCAGAAGTGTTAATTACAAAACATCTTGGTTCCACCCCGCTTAGGTTGTGTGAATAGCCTACTGCTAGACTGTTCTGAACTTGACCCTCATTCTGCATCCAAATTCAATGATACAGCCATTCATCGGCTTGATTTTGGCAGTGTTATACATGCCCTCTGAAACATGATTTTTGGCAGGCTCTCAAAGCATAAATGACTTTCAGCATACAAATCTCTCTGACTTGCTGCATAGTTCCCCTTCGTGATCCTCCATCAGCATCAGCGCAAGACCTCAGCTGACCAGCATAAAACCAAAAATAGTGCATTTGACAATACAACGCTGAGTAACTATTAATGTGCAGTGATAACTAGGTAAGTGCATCAGCTGCTTAGTGGACTGCTTTTCTCACCCCTCTTTGGCTGAGCTGGTGAGCAGAAGAAGGTGCCCAAGAGGGGCCTGCAGTTGGTCCCTAAATGAAGTGAATGCTGCTGGGAGTTGAGCTCCCCCATCACGGCCTTTTTGGCTAGAGAAGTAGTATGACTATGCATATTTCTGTCAGCTTTGGGCAATGTTAGGAGCCTTGCTGTTCCTTCTGGCTGCAGAATGGAGCTGAATGTTAGTTAGGCCTGGCCTACCTGCGGGGAAATGGCTGCACAGAACAGGCCGGGGGCTGTCCCTGGTGGTCAGACTTAAAGCTTGATGACTGACACCCAGGCTTTTTCACCTCTTTGAGTCCTCAAAACCTCTAAGGAAAAGCACAAGGTGTCCTGGGATCCTCGTATGCAATATGAGAGTGTCCCTGCAGCATCTCTTTGGCAAATCATCAGGAAATAGTGCAGTGCTGCAGTGCTTTAGAGTGATGTACAGCAACTAAACGTCCCTGTGAAAAGGCATCTCGCCCACCCACAGCTGCAGAAGTGTGGTGGGGATGTGGCAAGTCCAGTAAGGCATAACAGCCACCACTGCTCCTCACCACCCTTCTTCAGAAACCCTTCAGGAAAGCACCTGGAGGAGCTGCCCGCCTCCTCCACTACCTCAGAGGAGACCTCGGGACCAGAAGTGACTCAGCAGAAGACGATGCGGCTCAGGATTGATTTGCTTGGCAGCCACCCCACTTACTAAGACAGCTAGTGCTGCTATGAAACACCTCTTTCACTGATAATGAGTAAAATCAAAGCCCTTTCCCTTCACGGAAAGGAGATGCTAAACTTGCTTCAGTTTAGCTTCGTTTCCTGAGGATAACACCCTCATCGAGCAAGTAGGAGCCACCCTTCACAGCATTAACCCAAATGTCCTCTCTTGCAGCCACCCCAACCAGGGTCTTGGTGTTTCTTGCAGCCTGGGAGCCGAGCCCAGCACATCCCCCTGCAGGCCTCATCCCCCTGTGAGGCAGAACAAGCCTGATTCTTCAGCCCACCATGCACATTTCACAACGATAAGCATCAGCAGTGAGATCCATGTTGTTAGCCAGTAACAGCTATTTTGTGATGATGAGGCTCTGTAAAACGTAACCAGAGATTAAACAAGTAAAACTGAAGCAGAGCGAACAGCTCTGGCATATCAAAGTAATTTATATCCTGTTAACCAGGAAAAGCAGGCACGAGAGACATCTGGAAGTGAAAATTAACTAAAACCAGGCTAATAACAGAAACGAGGGAGAAATA